ATTGCTGCAATCTCATGATAAAACTTTAATAGATGAGAAGTTGCTTCTTATGGATGAACAAAGAAAGTAGTTTCTTGAGATGGAAACTACTCCTGATGAAGATGCTGTGAAGATTGTCGAAATAACAACAAAGGATTTAGAATATTGCCTAAACTTAGTTCATAAAGCTGTGGCAGGGTTTGAGAGGACTGATCCAATCTTGAAAGTAGTTCTACTGTGGGTAAAATGCTATCAAAGAGCATTGCATGCTATAGAGAAATCGTTAATGAAAGGAAGAGTTAATTGATATGGCAAACTGCATTGTTGTCTTATTTTAAGAAATTTCTACAGCCACCCCAACCTTTAGCAACCACCATCCTGATCAGTTGGCATCCATCAACATTGAGGCAAGACCCTCCACCAGCAAAAAGATTACGACTCACTAAAGGCTCAGATGATGGTTAGCATTTTTTAGCAATAAAGTATTTTTTAATTAAGGTATGTACATGTTTTTTTAGACATAATGCTATTGCACACTGAACATACTACAGTATAGTATAAACATAACTTTATATGTACTTGGAAACCAGAAAAATCCACGTGACTCACTTTATCGCAATATTCACTTCAATGCGGTGGTCTGGAACCGAACCTTCAATATCTCCAAGGTATGCCTACATTTTAATCTACAATACTTCCTATCAAGTGCTCTCTCTCCAGCAGTGGCAGCAAAGCTTCTGGTTTCCAAGGCCTGCCCCATCCTCAGTGAAAAGCCACAACAATAAAGCTGGGATGAAGAGGGAGGTGGAGTAGCACCAGATAAGAACACTACAAACTTGTATTATTCTTACCCCGAGTTCAGTACTTTTCCTGAATAAAGCTTCTCAATTTGTTTGGTTGATTTCCAGAGCACTGACTTAGTTGTTTTGATAGTTGTGTCCAGCTTTATGGTTGCTTTGTGGGGAGAGCAATCAAATTTCCTACTCAGTCATGCCAGCCATTCCTTGTTGTCACAGTGTATATCATGTTGCTGTAGTCCAAAGTTCAACTACACCAAATCTTGGCTATAACTTTGAGATTGTATTTACCTCTGAGATAAAATTGCAAGTTCACTTCTGTGTTATTCATATTCTATGCACAGATCTGTAGCTATTTTAGATTAGATATATTAGACTCAGCTTCATTTTTTTTTTGGACTGCTACTAGGAAAAACTGATCTTGTGCATATGCGTTTGTGTGTAGGATAGACAAGAGTTAAATATTTCTCTATATCAATAATACAAAGAACCTACTAAAAATGTAATACAGTCAGAGGCAAAATCATGCTAACAGACTATATGTATTTAGTCCAGATACCACAGTATATGAGAGATACTGATAACTCATAGTATATGAAAATGATACTAAAAGGTATGGAAACTATGGAATATAAAAAATATTTGAGAGAAGTGTCAATGTTCACCCTGGAGAAAAATGACATATTGCTAGCCTTTCAAATACTTAAAGTAGATTTACTCACTACTCATATAGAGGGCAGAATCAAAACTAATGGGGATGGGCCGGCCCCGTGGCTTAGCGGTTAGGAGTGCGCGCTCCGCTACTGGCGGCCCGGGTTCAGATCCCGGGCGTGCACCGACACACTGCTTCTCTGGCCATGCTGAGGCCGAGTCCCACATACAGCAACTAGGAGGATGTGCAGCTATGACCTACAACTGTCTACTGGGGCTTTGGGGGAACAATAAATAAACAAAATAAAAATTAAAAAAGAAATGAAAATTTTGTGTATTTATCTATTGTAGTCTTTCCTCTAATTATTAGATGTAACATATCCTTTTTAGTACTAAGTGCACAGCGTTCAGCAGTGCATACAGAATTAAATTACCTCTGCTTTCTCCGATTCCCTCTGTTGACTCCTGTGGCTGTTACCAAGGATAAAATATGAGTGGACAAAATGGCCTTATCTTGTCCCATTACCTGAAATTATATAGTAAATCTTGTATCTGTCTAATACTGAGAGTTCTTACTGCTGTTTAATGTAACTCTTACGTCTGCTGTCAGAAAAGAAGTAGACGCACATTGTGAATAAATGTCATGAGAAATGATTTTCCTTTCATTCACTTATGAAGAAAAAGTCTTTTTGTGAAAAAAGTTAATAAAAGAGACTTTAAATACTTTTATTTCTACATCTAGAACATAATTCGAAGTGTGTATACTTTTATTTAAAAGTAAAGCGTCATAGAAATCTGAATCCGGCAATATATATTATAATTTTTAATGCAGAGTTTTTTAGAATTAAGAAATACTTTAAGAATTAAAAAGAGAGAGAGAGAGGGAGAATTATTTGGAAGGTGGGGTGGGTAGATTGAAGGAAAAGCCTGGATTTATCTGATGGTAACCGATAGGATTTATCTATGTAACAGATGCTAGTTACTATATTTTCTTTTCATCCTTTTGCTTCGTTTTTGGTGATTGATAATTCTCTTTTCAAGCTTTTAAATAACAAAAATTACTGAGCTCAAAATCACCCAACCTGGTGACTCTTTCTTCATCCCTCGAGAGTCTCAGCACAGAAAAAATTGTTTCAGATAGTTACTTTATAGACTCTACCAGAAAGTTAAACCATCTCTTTGTGATGCAGGGTTCACATTGCATCAGGGGCCCAGGGGGATCTTAGAATCTGGAATTCAGTGCCTCATTTTAGACACGAGGAACTCAAGCAGTAGTGTGCTTGTAACTAGTTAGCAACCAGCTCCCTGGGGGAAAAGCCCTGCTTTGTAGTGTTTGCTGATTTCTGTGATGTAAATACTGCCACCATGGTCGATCTCAGGCTAACAACATGATGTCACTGAGTGCAGTGTTGGGAAGAGAGACGCTGTGGCACACTGCTGTATAGAATTTCTACTGTTCACATAATGTAGACGTAAATAACCTCAAGAGCACACGCATAATATAAGATATAGTAAAATAATTAGGAAGTGAGGAGTTTTGAATATTTATTACTTTTTTAAAAATGTATTTTATTTAATTGTAATTTTATATAATTTAACTTTTAGTAATGGCTGTGTTTAATGACCATCTTGTACAATTTCTTAAAATTGAACGATTGACCCTGTGAGGAGTTCCAGGACACCACTGAACCTGAGGCCTATGGAGACTTGGGATGGAGCCAGGACGAGTACCAGGGTCTCTTGCTTCACTCCAGGGAAAGATTATTCACGGTATAATTGTAGGGTGATGGATCCTGACCATCAGCTATGATTTATGAAAAGAGCCTCTAAGTGATTTTTAGATAATATTCTGAAAACACTAGATCAGTGTTTCATAGAAGGGGCCCAGAAGTTTAAGGAAATTTTATTGAGTGTCATGAGGAAGGATATTCAAAGAAAAGAGAGAATATTATATCCAAAGCTTGGTCAGAATCATTGTGCATTGCAAGCCAGAACACTTGAAAAAGATCTAGTAGGGGTAGAGAAAATTCTGAGGAGGACTGGGAAGGAAGGTAGTCAGTGAAACGACAAGGAGGTTATAATAACAGGCTGGACTGAAAAGATTAGGATGCATAGCCAGAAGTGCTAAGGTGGCATTAAAAAAAACCCTTAAAATCAGGAGGGGGCTTGTGGTGAACTCAGCCCTATTCTCTGGGGACATTCCTGGAAGGGGTAAGAGGTGAATTTTGATAATTGAAAGGAAAGGCTAATTATATAACAGTGTTTGTGGTGAGAGATGAATGGGAGTATCTCTTTTAAAAGGTTTTAAAATATATTTATGAATGCCTGGTCTATAATGGACGATAAGCCTCTTGACGGCAGGGACCTCTTCATTATTTCTGACCGTGCCTAGCCCAGTGTCGTCAGTTGGTAGTGTTCAATATAACCTTGGAGAGTTTTAAGCTGGAGAAGGATAGGATCTAATATTCCCAGCACATCACTCTGGCTGCTGGGCAGAGAAGAGAGGGAAGAGTGAGAGAAAGAAGACTGTAAGGAGGCTGCTATGTGGCCATCTGGGTGAGCTTGACGGTGGCCAGGAGTAGGATGGTGTGGTGGAAATAGAGAAGAGGTAGGTTCCCAATAGGTAGGTTCCCAATAGGTAGGACTGATAGGAATTGCTCATGGGCTGGGTCGGGGTGGGATGGCAGCTGCTGAGGGAACTTCCTCCGTTGTCTCTTAATCAGTTCTAGGGTCAGTTGTCAGTGCTACTCAGGGGAAAATATTCTGTATGAAGCTCAGCTAATTTTGCAGGATGTTAGTGATGTAGAATACAAGTTTTCATTTAAAATTTATTTTTTCACAATTCAGTGGCTTTTATTTTAGTCAGAGTTGGGCATCCATCACCACTATCTCGTTCTAGAATATTTTTATTACCCCACAACCATCACCTTCCAACTTCTCATCCCCCCAGCCTCTGGCAATCACTAATCTACTTTGTGTCGTTATAGATTTGCCTATTCGGGACATTTCGTGTAAATGGAATCTTACAATACATGGTCTTTGGGGCTGGTTTTTTTTCACTTAGCATATATTTTCAAGATTAATCCATGTTGTAGCATATATCAGTACTTCATTCCTTTTTATTGCTGAATAACATTCCATTGTATGGACATACTGCATTTTATTTATCCATTTGTCATTAATGGGCATTTGGCTTGGTTCCACTTTTGGCTATTATAAATAATGCTTCTATGAATATTTGTGTATAAGTTTTTGTGTGGACACATATTTTCGTTTATCTTGGGGATCTACATAGGCGTGGAATTGCTGGGTCATATGGTAACTGTTTAACCATTTGAGGAACTGCCAAACTGTTTTCCAAAGTGGCTGCACCATTTTACATTCCTACCAGGTATAAGTTTTCAAAGACAGCTAGAAATAGCTTATAATGTGGTGCTAGGCATATGTCCAGGATCAATTGGGTTTGGGAGAAAGCAGAGGATCTGCCCTCCCCCTCCCCTGTGGCAGTTGGCGCCAAGCCGGACATCACAGATTTGCTCATGATGTGGACTGATCTGGCACAGAGACACCTGGGCATGTCCCTGTTCAGGGTCACATCTGTACCAGATTAAGAAACGGAGCCATGCTGCTTGCATTCCATTCAAGTGCCCTTGACCACATGCCATTATGTGATGAGTTCAGGATATTGGCTATCTGGATGTAAATTTGTTAGGATGAAAACACGCCACTCGGGTAAATCCTAGACATTCCTGTGCCTAATTTCATACTTGCAAATTGTCCGTCTTAAACTTTTCACTCTGCTCAGAGGTAGGAATGGTGAAGTCTGACTACTATGCTTGGCTTACAAACTGGATTTGGTTCCTGGCTATCTTGTGTCATTGTCAATACTGCACACTCCAGGCAAGGGACAAAACCTAGGCAGATCCAGGGAGAAAGTGCTGGAGTCAGGAAACTGGGATCTTGCTCTGGTGGTAACTGTGCTGTTTGAATTTTCTTAGATTAAGCCATATTTATTAATAAACTTTTAAATTCATTTTCTAGAAGTTGCTATTCTCTCAAACTGTTTTTATATATTACATCTGGGTTTGTCTTACAGGTAACAATTGCTTGTGATGCAGTTCTCAGCTCAAAATCTCCATACAGAAAGCAGGACCCAGACACATGGGAAAATGAATTGCCAGTCTCCAAATATGCCAATAACCTCGCCCAGTTGGACAATGGAGTCAGGATTCCTCCAAGGTGGGAGTCAGATGGCAAAATGGAACTTTACCCCCTTAAACTGGCCAAAGGAATATTTACTTTTCTACCTCTTCTCTGAATTAGCAGTTATATATTTTCTTATCAGATGCCTTTTATTAAAAATAAGCTCAAAGTTCTCTCTAAAATTATCTGTGCCTTTGTAGTAGATGCTGAACACGGCCAGCCCATGCGTCTGAGCCTGTCCCCATCCTAAGGCTTCCTGTTGCAAGCACCCGCAGCTCTTTGCTTGAGAGCTTTCTCTGGCTGGCAGAGCCAGGTAGGCTGGTGCATGGGACAGTCAGAAATGCCACAGAGTTCATACTCCCTCCTGTCCTCCTGAAACAGCCCTCAGCCAGTGACTGTGGAGTGGCTGGATAAATACCCTAGATCCCTACCCTCATGTGGGATAACTGTCTCCTGGAGTTCCCCAGCTGGACGGAGCCCCAGTTGTCCGTGGTGGTCATCTGCTCATTGATGTACCCTCTACTGGCTTCTTGCCCCTTCCCCTCTCACTTCCCTATGGTGCTTCCTGAGATCACCTCCCAAACAAGCCATTTGTATTCAAATCTTTGTCTCAGAGTCTGCTTCTAGGGGAACCCAACCTGCATGGTCTTTGGTTGTCACATCTTTGGCTGGAATGACCTTTGAGCTACATTAGCACCTCCTCCTCTTAGGTGCTGATTTGTTTATAGAGGGCAGGTGCTAGAGGGAAAGAGCAGATGGATTAGGAATGTGTCCAGTCTGGTTGAACCCTGACTACAGTGAATTCCCATTCTGTGTGGGCCTAAGGAAGGCACGGTAGTTCTGGGCCTCAGTTTCTCCCTTTGACAATGGGAATGTAATACTGATGCTGAAGGGTGTTTATTAGAATTAAATGATAAAACTTCTGTAAAGCACCTGGCACATGCTTGACATTTAACTTTCAGCTAAGTGATTTCCTTTCTACTTAATTTAGATTTGCAGTGTTTTAGGGTTTTGTTTAAACTAGTTTTACTAGGTGTGGTTAATGCTGTAAAACTTTAGATGTTTATACACGTGGGATCCTTAATGGTTTAAACTTATTCAAGCTCCACTGTCCCTCACTTAGGAATTTTAAGGAAGTGACCTCCCCTCCTATCCTCATGTTCTGTGCCAGTTTTCCAAAGTAAAAGGGTTATTGCAGAGGAGCTGGGAGTTGCTGGTCCCCATCTGGGAGGTGGACGGGGTACTGAGTGGTGTTGCTGCTCTGGAAGGGTTCTCTCTTATTCCATTGACCATTTTCTGTGACCCCCAGCTTGAGGCTCTGTTTCCCTGGATGTTAATTTTCTAATTACCCCTTGTGCTCTTCAACGACTTTCCAGTGGTTGGAAGTGTGCCAGGTGTGACCTGCGGGAAAACCTCTGGTTGAACCTGACGGATGGCTCTGTGCTGTGTGGGAAGTGGTTCTTTGACAGCTCTGGGGGCAACGGGCATGCGCTGGAGCATTACAGAGACATGGGCTACCCTCTAGCTGTGAAGCTGGGAACCATCACTCCCGACGGGGCAGGTGAGTGTGCCTTTAGCGACTGGGAACTTGCAGTGGCTCCTTCTTAGATTTAACCAATGCCTCAATCCCTAGGGCTGGAGGGCGTAGGCTCTAGACTCAGCCCAGGATGAATGCTGGTTCTGCTTTGTATTAGCCTTGAGGTCTTGGGCAAGTTTTCAAATCCTTCTAAGCTTCAGGTTCCTCATCTTGAGGACAATCATGGTACCTCTCTCAGAGGTTTGTTAAGGTGCATAAGCTTTTAGCCTAGTGCACACAATGAGGTCTTAATCAAAGTTAGCTGCTAGTGTTAGTATCTTTCTGTATATCTCTTGGCTGAGAGGACAGAAGCAGGAACCAGGACTTGTGAAGTGAATGTGTATAATTGAATCCACCGTTAGAATAGCAGAGAGAAACCCTAGAATTAATTATGGGGATTAGTATCATTTTAGGAACAAATGGATTCATTATGGAGAAGATGGGCTTTAAAGGACACCGTGTGTTCAGAGTCCCTGATGTCAACTGGCAGCTAGGGTGTTCATGTGCAGCCAGGGATTAGAATTGTTCCTATTTGTACTGTCACCTTCAGAATTGTTTTTTTTTTCTTTATGCTCTCACACTGTATGCTCTAAAATGTAAGCTTTTGGCCATGTTTGTGCAGTTAATTCCTTCTACCATTTTGTGAGGGAAAAGGGAAATCATATCAGGGTTAATAATGAGAGGCTTAAATATTGAGCAGTGGCCATAAGAACCCATCATCTAAAGCATCATTGAAAACATTTATCAAGCGTGGATCTGGACCAATACCTAGATCCATCTTCTCCATCTTCCCAGGCTTTAGTCTCTATTTCTTCTTTACTTTAGTGCAAGAACGTTGTCTTTGAGAAGAAATATAAAGACATTTGTCTTTTCTCTTCTCTGTTGTCTTTCTGTGCCTGAATTAGCCTACCTCAGAGTTAGTTGGCTAGCATGTTTTCACTAAATATGATACACTTCTTGTCAACCATGCTTTTTCCATTGAACGGGTTTAGTTTCTCATTTGTTTTATGATTGAGGGCAGGCAGTTAGGTCATGTCAAGATTCTTTTGATTCACATTTTGGATAATTTTCCTGCTTCCAAAGTTAGTGGACTTATTTTACCTCATTTGAGAAAAGTAGCTCCAAGAGTCCCAGGTGCTGGTGTCAAACGTTTCCCCCCAAGTAAATAAACCTCTACACAAGCCAGGTCAAATCCTAAGACTTCCAGGATCTGAAGAGGAAATTCAAGACATGCAGTTGGATTCAGGGTTACAGCAGGGTGCTTCCAGGTCATTGCTGTGTTGAATGACTGCCGTATCAGGCACCCATCCTTTTCCTTTTAGGGGCTACAGAGAGAAGGATTTGCACTGTAGGAATTCTATTGGGTAAAATTGCAAGGGGAGAATAATTTGAATATTTCTACTTTCTATGCTGTCTTATGTAGTGCTTTGATAAGACCAGTTATTAGAAGTCCAGCTCTCAGAACAACTTGTCCAAGACTACAACCATTGGTATATATGGCTTAGAATTATTTGAAGGCAAGGTTATGTCTTACCTTACGCATCTTTGGGTTCCATACAAACTCTTATACGTAATAGGTACAAATACTTTTGTTAAATGAACCAACTTGTATATAAGTATGTAAATAATTAGATTCTATTTAAACATATGCTAATAATAAAGGCATGGGTTAGTTCTGTTCTCTATGTATGTTTAATTTTCCAGAAGCCTTTTTTCTAGTGGGAAACATTTTCAAACGGCAACTTAGAGTCCATCTAAAGTTTCTTTCCTTTCAACTTGAGGAAGGAGTTTTATATTTGCCCCTTGATTATTCAAGAAGCAGATGTTCAATGTAACATATTTAGAAAACAGAGAGCAAAGTTTAGAGAAGTAAATAAGTAAAAATCACTAGTAATACCACCCTCTAGACAAATTACTTCTAACAATTCGTGTATTTCCTTTCAGTCTTTTTTCTTTTTTAAGGGCTTGATCAGTTCTTATATAGACAACCCGACCCACACACACAGTTTTACAAAAACTGTATCACACTGTATAAAGCTTTATTCTTTATTTTTCTCTATTTAATATTAATTATATTTCTGTGTTATTAAATATTATTCATGATAGTTTCATAAATCATTTCACTATTCCCCTGTGAGTTTTTAGCAATTTTTTTTTGCCAGTCTGATGAAAATCCTTGTACATATTCAAATCTTTGGGTGTTTGTCTAATGATTTCTTTAGGATAAATTCCTACAACCAAAGGCCTGAACCTTTTAAATTTTCAATTTCTCTTTTAAACAGTTGTAGTAATTTACTTTTCCACCAGCTGTGTATGAGAATACCCATTTCAACAAATCTTTGGCAACTTTGAGTATTAAAACTTTTTAAAAACCTTTGCTAATTTGGTATCTTGTTTTAATTTGCTTGACTAGTGAGGCTGAATATTTTTCATGGTATTCTTGGTCATTCATAGTTCTTTTTGTGCATTTCTTTGGCTGATTTTCTCGTACCTGTTATGGATAGGTGTTTTTCTTATTGGTTTTTAAGAACTCTTTCGCTATTAAGAATATTGATCTGTTATCTGCCGTAAAGTTTTTTTTTTTTAATAAAGAAGGAAGAACTTTTTTTTTTTTTTGTGAGGAAGATCAGCCCTGAGCTAACATCCATACTAATCCTCCTCTTTTTGCTGAGGAAGACCGGCTCTGAGCTAACATCTATTGCCAATCCTCCTCCTTTTTTCCCTCCAAAGCCCCAGTAGATCATAGTATGTCATAGTTGCACATCCTTCTAGTTGCTGTATGTGGGATGCGGCCTCAGCATGGCCGGAGGAGCAGTGCCTCGGTGTGCACCCGGGATCCGAACCCGGGCCGCCAGTAGCGGAGCGCACGCACTTAACCGCTAAGCCACGGGGCCGGCCCAAGATGGGAGAACTTTTAAGGTTTTTCTTATCATATTTGAATAAATGAGAGTATTTGGATAAATACTCCTGTTTCAGTCATAGAAAGCATAAAACTTGGCAATAGCAGTGCTGACTATACATCCCCTAATGAGGGTTCTTGAATTCATTTAGCTGAAATAATGTTCATTTTTTGAAAAAAGATCAGAATTTGATTCCTTTTTATATTATGCAGAGTGGGTTTTAACACAAATGATTATTTTCAGTCTAATTACCATTTCATATTAGTTTATGGGATGCATCAATTCTACTTTAGTTTCTTTTAAATCTGTTTAATAGATTGCTAGCTGTAACACTGATTATTTAAACAGATAAGTTAATGGAAACGTGTGTAAAGTTTCCTTAAATATCTGATGATGAGCCTTGTGGACACTGAGGCTCAGGAGGACAGGGTGCCCTCTGTCTGGGGCGAGGTGGCCACCTCCTGGTGAAGGTACCACTGTAGAGGGTCCCATCTTCTATTCTCGCTAGGCTCACTGAGGCTAATTCAGCTCACCAGAGGCAAAGTCTCAAAGTCAGAGTGTTTATTTTTCAGTTTATAATGAGAACCACAACTGCCTGTAAGTGGGATGTTTATGTCAGCTTGACCAGTACATTCCTTCCCTGTGGGAAGCTGAATTATATTTAGAATATTGCTTAGTGAACATGGAATCCAGGCAGGTTGTGGACTCAAATATTTAATGGTAGTGTGATCCGATCATCCTGGATTCCTTCTCCCTGACAAGGATATACCTGTTCAGTGAGAAACTCATACTCATCTAGAGGTCTCAAATTAAAATTAGTTCTTCCAAGATGGTCCCCCATCTTGGATGGTCCCCCAAGCTAGGCTGTTGTACTGGCATGCATAGTAAAGATTGGCCCCATATCAAATTCCCCTCTGGGTCCCCATGGGAACAGCAACAAACAAACCAAGAAACAGATCTCCATACAAACAAATGAAAAGCTTTCCTCTGTGGGAGGAGACATTGGTTTGGCCAAGCAAGGTTGAGGTTCTTGGTGGGAAGGGAGTTAGGAGGGATGGAGGCAGGAGAGGGTGTTTTATTCTTCCATTATGGAAACTAGTTTACCTAAGAAGATATCTCAATGCCTCGGTGATTGCAGGAGAGTCTTCCAGAGATGCCCAGTGGAGCTGTGAAATTGCCTATCCCACAGCTGTGGATTGCCTGCCCCTGCACCCGGTCAATAGCATCTCAGGGTGGTCTTTCTTCTTTGGTTATGTGCACCCTTGACTTGGGCATAAGCTCCCTTGAATTTCTCATAGCCCAGGATTTGGAATCAAGGCACGGACTACTTCATTTTAATTTTGACCTGGCTTCTGCCCCTCCTGTGTGCCTCTGCAGCACCTCGTGCTACTCCATCGTAGCACTTTTCAGAAGATCCTGTAACTGTTTGTTTAATAGTGGTCACTTCAGACAGCAGGGCCTGAGTGCCACGTTTGTTGTAGTCTATTATATCCAGCATAGCCCCTCACACAAAGTAGGTGTTCAGTAAATACTTGTCGAGTAAACATATGGAGGAAGACACACCAACAAAATTTGCTCCCCAGATTCACCTTTTAAAAATTTTATTGACGTCTTTTTACTCTTACTTGTTTTCCTTTCCTGACTAAAGTCTAGGTTTTGTCTGGCCTGGAATTTATACTCACTAGCTGATGGTACATACCTCTGACCTCATTCATTTTTTGTTTATTTTTCTGGTAATTGCTGGAGAATTCTCTCATTTCTCTTCTTTCCCTGTGTGTGGCAGATGGTCTGTTAGGCACACAAATATGAACTCATGGTGGAGAGATGTGGTTTGGGTGGACGGACCAGCACTTACTCTGGAAGAGCCTTTCCTCATCCTTTCCTCTCTGACTTATGACTTGGTGTTTGACCAAAAGTTCTGTTTTTCTCTCCACTTGAGCTGTGAGAACAGAGCAGCAAAGCCAGCTCTCCTGGTTTCATTTCTTTTCCTAAACACAAGACTTGTTGAGGTACGTCTTTGTGTCTCTCTCCCCTCTGCTTTCCTATGTGGGAATCTGAGGGCAGGATTTGGACTTCTGCCATTTTCTGGGGCTTAGGAAGAGATCCTAAAGTCACATGACTAAACCATAGCCAAGAAGATGTCTGTTGAGGTCCTACCAAACCAGCATTTCTTCTAAGACAATTTGAAATAGTAAAATTTAAATATGTGAGGGCAGACCTTGCTTATCTTATTTAACATCGTATCCTCAGTATCTGTATACATTTGGTGTTCAGTAAATATTTGTCGAGTACAATGAATGTATGAGTGAATGAATGAATGAGTGAGTGAGTTAATCCATGTGGATGAAGAAGGAAGACCAGTGGTACACTAGACCTAATGGCATTCCATCCGATAGAATCATTTTAATCTTTAGGAATTACTTGCAAAACATTTTTTTCGATCAAAATATAATAAATTTGGAAAAAAGAGAAAATCAAAAAAACAAAAAATAAATCTTCACATTCAGAGATATGAAATTATTACCATTTTCATATAATTCCTTACAGGTTCTCAGTCTTGGTCTCAGTCTTAGTCTCCATCTCTATTCTCTAACTTTTTCTTTAGTTAATTTGGGAACTTATTGCATCTACTGATTTCTAACACGCTTGTCTCATCAATGGGTTCTTCATGCTCTAAAACTTTTCTTTTATCTTTTCTCTTGTATGGATCTCTCCGTACTCTCTATGGTTTAACTAGTCATTTAACTTGAAATGAAACAATGACTGGTTTCCTTCTAAAGTGAATGTAGTTACTCACGAAATGCTGGTTGGGCTATTATTGAGTGTGTCCTTCTGTGAACTTCCTAACTGTGCTTCTTGCCTCCAAGTTTTAAGCCAGGTTGGGGGTGGGGGAGGGTGATAATTGTCAGGCAATGCTACAATAGTTTCTGAGCTAGGACTTGACTTTGCTAAGCTGAGGTTGGAGATGAATGAATTTCCCAATGAAAAGTGCGTAAGGAAGTATTTTCAGCCCCTGAGTCTACTTCAAATTTTTTTCTATGACTACAGGTCATTTATAAATTCATCATGATTGCCAAGTTTAAGGATCACTGTTCATTTTTAGATTTCATGTGCGTTACTCACCAAACTGTTGTTGTCATTGGGATAAGAAATAACTATTGTGTCTGACCGAATCATGTTGTACCTTTGGAGCAGTTAATGACTAGAAATAGGAAATGTTAATTTCTCAATGTGGAAGAGCCTAATGGGTTAAGAACCATAGCGTGCTGCATGATTTTCGCTTGTTTCAAAATCCGAGGCCAATGCCAATGGTGCAGTTCTAGCAATTTTATTATTTTCTAATAGAGCTCTGATAATTAGAGGCTTAAAGTCTTAAGTGTCCAAAACTATCTCACTATTTAATAATAACCAAAGTTAAAGTGCCTAGGAAGTGTCCTTTTCACCTTCCAGCCAATATTTGAGTGGTATTTTTCTGTCACTTGTCATAGATTGAAAATATTGTTGATATATTTGTTTCAAGTTATTAGTTCAAAGATTTTTGATGTTTTTTTTTTAGTGTTTAAACTTTTTAGAAATTTTTTCTTAACTGGGCTGTGGATTTTGTCTTTTGTTTCTGCTTTTGAGAGCACTGAATTATATTTTAAAAGGAATGTAGACGAAGGCTGCTGTCCACTAGTTAAAATGGGCCCCTAGGGGAAGAAGGGTAGAGGAGAAAGCTATCCATGTTTAATCTATTCTATATATAATAGAAAGGCTGACTTCCTTTGAGTGGCAGTGAGTCTCCTCATATCTGGGTTTGGGTCAGAGGGTTACCGTAGTTCTTGTATATTACTTTTTTCTTTTTTTAACTCCTGCTGATGTTCCAAAGAGCAGGAAACTGCTTGGAAAAGTCTATCTTTTACTATCCTAAAGAATGATACCTTAAGCCAGCCCTGATGGCCTAGTGATTAAAGTTCAGCGCTCTCACCGCTTCAGCAGCCTGGGTTTGTTTCCTGGTCACAGAACCATACCCCCCGTCTGTCAGTAGCCATGCTGTGGTGGCGGCTCATGTAGAAGAACTAGAAGGACTTACAACTAGGATATACAACCATGCACTGGGGCTTTGGGGAGGGAAAAAAAAAGGAAGATTGGCAACAGATGTTAGCTCAGGGCAAATCTTAAAAAAAAAAAGAGAATGATATCTTCACATCTATTTTCCTTGTAATAGGTTTTGTTTTTCAAATTTAAGAGTGAAGAAATTGTGGGTTGTGTTTTTGTTTTTGTTTTTTCTTTGGTGAGGAAGATTAGCCCTGAGCTAATATCTGTTGCCAATCCTCCTCTTTTTGCTCAGGAAGATTGGCCCTGGGCTAACATCTGTGCCCATCTTCCTCTACTTTATATGGGATGCCACCACAGCATGGCTTTGGTAAGTGGTGCATGGGTCCGTGCCCGGGATCTGAACCTGCCAACTCTGGGCCGCCGAAATGGAGCGCGTGAACTTAACCACTACGCCACAGGCCAGCCCCAGAAAATGTAGGTTTTGCCTCTCTGTTCCTGTTAAGGACCTAGGATGGTGCTTCACCAAGTCTATTAGTCTCCTGAGAGATCCATGGCAATAGTTGGGTGTAAAGGAGAAAGGCCTGGGCCGGGAGTCAGAATACCTGGCTTCTAGGCCACCTATTAGGTTTGAGGCAAATGATTGAACCTTTCTGAGCCTCTTTTCCTCATCTGCAAAATAGGCCTGATGATGTCTGTTCCCTCTCCCACATTGCATTGCTGTGTGAGGACAGATAAGGCAGTAATTCAGATAGCTTTGAAAACTCTAAGCATTGCTTCTGGGGATCTCATTAAAATGCAGATCCTCATTCAGTAGGTCCGGGGTGGGGCCTGGGTTCTGCATTTCTAACATGCTTACTGCTGCTTAAGTCTAGACACCACACTTTGAGAAGCCAGGTTTGGTCTAAAGCATTCTGTTGTCAGGCATATTAGGATCCTGAGGAGAGAAGCTGCCCTCCTCAGCACACAGCTTCCCAACGCTAGTGTGCCACGAATGGGTTACCAAGGAGGCCAAGATGCCCATCTCTCAAGTCCTGGGGCAGGGGGCAGGGTCTGGGGCTGCTGGAGCCTCCTGAGTTACCCTGCTGTGCCAGACGCACCATCATTTTCTGTGTGTGCTACGAGGTGGACACGTTTGGGAAGCACTACACGTACGTCTTCACCACTCCCTCACCAGCTCTGTGAGATGTGAACGCTGAGGTAGGAAGGAGGGCTGAGGGGCAGGTGGAGGTGGACGTTGGTGAGCTGATAGGTCTGAGACTATAGAGGGCTCCGCAGGCAGCATTTTGCTTTCTCCTGGACCTAAAACCCCAGTCCAGCCATTCAGCTGCCCCTGAGGGCCTGTGTGTTCCCTCTGTTCCCTCCTAGGTTCTCCCTGCCATGGGCAGACAGTGTCACCGCTCTCCTCCCTCACCCTTCCCACCTCCTGAACTTTCAGTTATGCCGCTGTGGTTTTGGTTAGAAAGATCAAGTGTTAAGCATTTACATTTGTCTAATTTTAACTTATTTTAACTTTAGACACTGCTCTTTTATTTTCTTGTTTCAGAAAACTTTTTTTATTTCTTTTTGAAATGTCAAAAGAATTGATATATGGGTATATTTACAAAAAATACCTATTTATTATGTTTATTGTTTGTCGTCTGTCTTTCTTCCAGTTGAATGTAACTCACAAAACGTTTCTGTTGGTTTTGTTCATTGGTGCATCTCAAGCCTGATGCATAATAGGAGCTCGATAAATATATGTTGACTGTTGAATGACTTGATTATGGATCTCAGTACTTCTTTTTTCTTCCCCCTCTAGATGTTTATTCTTTTCAAGAAGAGGAACCTGTTTTGGACCCTCATTTGGCTAAGCACTTAGCACATTTTGGAATTGATATGCTTCACATGCATGGGGTGAGATGGTCTACTTTTGTCTATTCCCACCTTGTGGGGAGGAAACTGTTGGGTTTATTTAATATTTAATTTCTATAACATGAATCTTCACTTTGTAGGTTTTAGGTTTTAATGTTTGCATTTACATCTTGAATTTAATTAATTAGAGTTTCCTTTTGGTTACCAGCTTAGATTTTTTTTATGTTATAATACAAATGGCACCTTATCAAGTACCATTTTGTTTTAGTTGGAGTTTACGTGCAAAATTTCTGTCTCCTTGGATGGAGAGTTGCATGCATCACTCTTTGTTCACTAAAGCGAGAAGGTACGGGAAGATGACCTTTAAAATGATCTGTGGCCAACATCGCTTTAATTAATTCAGGAAGGGAAGCAGAGCTCCTGGGGGGTGGAAAGAAAGCCAATGTATTATTGTTGATGGAAAAGCTTTGCTTCATTTAATATTGTGTTTTCAAGTTGATATCCTGACTATGTAAGATTTGTCCCTGTGAGGAGCTAGTTAAATGTGCCTGCTTTGTTTTTGCCCTCTCCTCCCAGCCCAGCCGTCTCCCTCTCCTCATGTTCTCCTCTTTCTCACTCATGTCGCTCTTTAACCTACTTTCTCTGCTCTTCTTTAGACTTTCCTCCTATTTCCAGGCACTCCCGAGCTCCATGGTTTTATTCCCCTTTCTTCTCCCACCTCTTTCTTTGCTGTGTTTTGTCTTCTTTTGAAATTACTCTACTTGCTTCTTTTTTTTGGTTCCTATTTGTCTTTCTTCCTCCTGCTGTCTCCTTTCCTCTCAGTCTCTCTCTCTCTTTTATTTTTAATTCTTTTAAATATGGGTTTTTTTTTTTTTTTTAGAGTCATGCACTTTTTTTATTGTGGCTTTTTTTTTCCCTAAGTGAGATAACATTGTTTTACAACATTATATAAATTTCAGGTGTACATGATTATATTTCAATTTCTGTGTAGACTGCATCATGTTCACCACCCAAAGTCTAATTACCATCCATCACCCCGTGACATGTGCTCTGTCACCGCTTTTGCCCCCTTCTCTCCTCCCTTCCCCTCTGGTGACCACCAATCTAATCTCTGTATCTGTATGTTTATCTGTTGTTGTTGTTATCTTCTGCCTATGAGTGAGATCATACAGTATTTGACTTTCTCTACCTTGACATGTCACTTAGCATTATATCCTCAAGGTCCATCCATGTTGTCACTGTGGTGATATACATAACATAAAATTTGCCATTTTAACCATTTTTATTTGTACAGTTCTGTGGCATTAAGTACATTTATGTTGTGCAACCATCACCATCTCAGTCTCTTTTAATGAGGTTGTTTATTTCTCTGTTTAATTGGGGGAAAAAAAAGGCAGAAATATCTACTGCTGTTAGAAATCATTCATGGGACGTGGTCTTTGAATGATAGTCATAGCTGAAGTTGTTTTTCTTCAACAACTTTGCCCCAGACAGAGAACGGGCTCCGGGACAATGACATCAAGCCTCGGGTCAGTGAGTGGGAAGTGATCCAGGAGACGGGGACGAAGCTGAAACCCATGTATGGCCCCGGGTACACGGGTCTCCAGAACCTGGGCAACAGCTGCTATCTCAGTTCTGTCATGCAGGCCGTCTTCAGCATCCCCGAATTCCAGAGAGCGTAAGTCCCCCCCACAGCCCTGGGCGCCCAACACTGCCCTTCATCCCCTCCACATCCACTCTCGTCCTAGGTGATGGGGAAGCCCATCTTCACCAGCTGCAGGACATTTCAGCACATCCTATGTGGTGTCACTTCTTGCACTGAAGCTGGGCGAGAACCCTTGTCAAGTGTCACGGGAATCAAGTGAGATAAGGAGAGCTTTGTAGCTGAAAAACCTCTTATGGGGGTTTGTCATATTAACAGTGGCTCCCATTTTTAGACCATCACCCTCTATGACAAAAAATATTCATCATTAATCTTCACAGCAAGCCTGCCAAATCCCTTCCTATAGAGGCGCTAGGAGAGATTCAGTGATCCATTTGGTCAGTGTTGCCCTCCTGGTGAGTGGAATTTCTTAGAGGATTTAGACTTTTCATTTTTTGCTACTCAAAATGTGGTTCACAGACTGGTGTTGGTCTTCGGACTGCTGGTTGTGGATCTGCAATGAGATAAGTATGGAAATTGAGAGTGAACGTTTAGAAATTTTTGTAGCAATTTGACATTGCCATGTTTTATAAGTGGCATTTCATTTTTCTAATAATTTATTTTTATTGTATTTTTTTAAAGATATCATCTATATGAGTTGAAATAAACCAAAAAGCTGGCCTTCACCACAGAATATTGGGAGGCACTGGTTTAGGGCACTTCCTCACTGTGCATGTACTAGGCTGCCTTCTTCCTCCTGCACCGAGGGGTGGCTGTGTCTGTGGCGTTTTCGTCCTTAGGTCATGCTTAGGACAGGAAGCCACAAAGACCAGGAGCTGCAGCTGATGCACTTATGGACAGCCACTGCCTAAGTTTAGAAAATAGTCTCTAGTATTTTCCAGGGTAGGTAGGTTTCCACCTTGGTTTGAGTATGGAAGAGGACACACATGTGCTAAGACAGACAGACGGGCAGACAGCACACTAGGAATAGCACAGGGTGATTTTTTATCCACGTGGAGTTGAAATGCTAATGGCTTTAATGGTGGTTAATAAAAAGTACATCAAATATCTTTTTCTTTCCTCTGTTGGTGTTGACGACTTACCTCTTACTGTTTTCTGGCTTTGGGAATTCATGGCCAATTTTCCATGTCTAGTTTTCATTTTTTTATGCAGCCAATAAAGAGTAGGTTCTGCTCTGCTCAGCAGTGTGCTGGGTTCAGTGGTAAACAAAGGGACAAGGTGCCTGGCCCCACTTGGGGAGACAGACATTAAATAAATAGTCATAAGAACAACTGCATGGTTATAAACATGGTCATTTCCATGAAGGAAAAGGGAAGGAGGTGGTCAGAGAGGATCTCATTGAAGAAAGGACACACACCTTGCCTGATGTACAGGGGGAGTGGGGACAGAGGCTTTTGGACAGAAGGAAGAACAGGTTTGAAACTCTGAGATGGGAAAACCTTTTCAAAGATACACATTGTGCATTGTATTATTTTTATAAATTCTTACCCATGTCTCATACTTGTATTATCACATGGGAAACAGTGTAGCTTCATCTTATGTGTCTCATGCTCTAAGATTTTTTTAAAAAAATATGGAAGGAAAGTCCTTATGATAGGTGTTGTATAATTATTATTTCTTTTAAACTAGAATGGAAGAAACTTATGTTCTTTTGTTACAAAGCCCAACAACATTTTCAGTGCTTTACAGTCTATAGTTTTTGAAAATTCTTTCTATGCTCCAAAGTCTGATGAACAATTACCTTTCTGAATTTTTTCAATGAAAAAAATGTACCTCATGATTGTGTTTTGGATTTAAGATTCGAATCTCTCGCCGGAGTCTTGTTTCAAGAGTTTTAGAATTTTATGTTATTTTAATATTTTATATTCTATTTTCTAAACATTTACTGTATATATTAGAACATGAGCAACTTACTATTCATACTCATCCTCAGTCTTTTTGCTTTTTTACCAAATATCACTGGATTGAAATACTTGCTCTTCAAACTCCTTTTTCCCCAGTGGGACTAACTCAGTGGAGTTACATCCAGGAGCAGTGTCTCCATTTTGCAAGTAGAAAGAGTGACTCACAGAAAGATTAAATAACTTGTGCACAACCACAGTGTAATTCGGGAACATCGGGCTGACTCCTTGATACCCTGTCTGCTGCTTGAACCCAGTGTACATTTCAAAATAATTCTGATGAGGATCAAATCTAAATAAATTGTTGTACAAACTGAATGACAACTAAGATGGATTGTCAGATAGGAAAACTACATTTTTTTCTTTGAGAACCACTAGATTATAAACTAAAGGTATAATATGTATTTTAAAAATTATCTAGCATTACTTCTGCATTTTAATTTAATTTTGTTGTAATGGAGGATATTCCTCATCGATTAGAAAAGGAATATAAATTACTAGCAAAATGGACTTTTCTGACATTAAAGATTACCCCCTTTAACTTTATTTTTCTCCATCTTCCCTGAAAAGCATAAGCCTTTTCACTAGTGTTCATCTTCCCAGTGAGTTTTTTTGTCTTGTCAGGTTTTGAGATCTGATAAAGAGTAGATTGTAAGAGAGCTAATGAGTTCAGCATGTTGTATATTATTAAGAATTCTTCAATGCAGCCTATGGTTCTGAATAGTTTGGTTCCGAAGTTTGGTTTATCTATTATTTGGCTCTTGGTCTGTTGAAAATTTCTAGATAGAATTATTGCCCTAGTGACATCTAAAAGCCATTTGACTGGGACTGTCCCTGAGAAGTGTGCTTAATTTTGATGTAGGTACGTAATCTGAGATACGAATTCTGAGTTTGTAGACAACAGGTGCCTAGAAATTTCTAGTAGTTGAGGGATCTGATTAGAGGTCATTGCCAACGTCTGGTGTGTCATGGTTCTCTGTTAAGGCTTTATTGCAGTACTGCCTTTTCTGTTGGGTTATAGGTAGTCAATTATAGAAATTGGTTATGTGATTACACAATATGAATGTATTCATTCAACAAATATTTATTGAGTGCCTTTTACAGGTTGGATGCGGTTCTGGTGCTGGAGATGAAGTGATTTAGATAAAGTCTCTGTCTTCATGGAGATTATATTCTAGTATGTAATCTCTAGGGAGAGAGATAATAAACAAGAACATAAATATATTATATAATTGCAAATAGTGTTGCATGCCAAGAAGAAAGTCAGCCAGGGTCAGGTGATAGGGAATTAGGAAGGGTGGGGAGGTGACTTTTAATCTGACCTGAGAAGGAGCAAGGATCTGTGGGGAGAGCGTTCCAGGAAGGAGATAGCAGATGGCATGACCTTGAATCAGGAACGAGCTTGGCATGCCCTGTGGCAGCAAGAACGGCAAATGGCTGGGGCACGTGGTCTGAGGGAGAGGGGGTGGCAATGAGGTCAGAGAAGCAGGCAGAGCAGGGTGCATGAAGGGCCAGGGAAAAGGATCTGCTTCTGGATTCTTCTTCCTAGAGCTTTCAGGCTCAGAGAGTCAAAATCTAAAGAAGGAAAGATGAACAGCACAGAGAGTGTGAAATAGGAAATGAACTTCAGAAGTGAGAGGAACAATTTTACATTGAGATTAGAGATCAGTTGTTAAAGTTAGCGCTGCTGTGTCAGGATAAACTGGTCAGAAGGAGGGGTTGTGGACTGCTCAAGGGACCGTGGGCAAGGCAGGGACAGCTGGCAGAGTGGTTCAGAGCATGGCTTTGGAGCCAAGCTGCGTGGGCCCGCTCTGGGCTTCATCACACTCTCCCTGGGTGACTGGAAGCTACCTAATAAATTTGCATCCCCATTTCTCATCTCTCAAATGGAGTAATGATAATAATCCTTTCCTCATATGGTTGTAATGAAGACTCAACCAGGTGACATAGGAAACCCTCAAGAAACAATAGTTGTCACTGCTATGTCATCACTATTCACTTTAACACGGTTGGAACACCTCCTACCTGTACCATTTGTTTTCGAGATGGCAGTTGCAGTGGCATAAGCCAGTGGTCTTGACTCTGGCTACACGTTAGAATCATTTGGCGAACTTACGAAAGATTCCAAATCCCAGGCGTCACCCTCAGGCAATGAAATCAGAACATCTGGGGGTGGCTCTGGCTTTCATATTTTTTCAAGAAACTCTCTAGGGGATTCTAACTTGCACCCAGGGTTGAGACCCACTGATAGAAGCACAAACATTTTGGGGAGGTCCATGAATATGGCTGCAGAGGTAGGAGCTTAGGAAAAATTTTTCTTCAGTGGATGATTTAATTTTGACAGAAAGGCAAGAAGGTCTGAGCTAGGATGATGGCTTATTTTGGTTCTGTTCTTCTCTTAGTTCCTATGTTTTGACTGTTGCTTCTCATTTTCTAGGTATGTAGGAAATCTTCCAAGAATATTTGACTACTCTCCTTTAGATCCAACACAGGATTTCAACACACAGATGTAAGTGCCCAATTGTAGTTTTTTAGAAAAGTATCCAATAAAGTGTTCATAGTGGTTATCTCTGGGTTGCAGGATTAAGGCAATTCTCTTTTCTTCTTTATTTTCTGTGTTTTAAAAAGTGTTCTAAAACAAGCATATGTTACGTTTATAAGAAGAAAGAAATTTAAAAAATTATGAAGTACTGAGGAAAATTTGAAAATGGAGTCAGTATCAAGCAGAATCAATTAAATAAGTTATTTGTGAGTAATCGAGATAAAATGTTCCACCTAAAAGCAGCTGTACTTGTTGAGATTCATAGATAATTTTAGTATCTCTAAGGGGAAACAACAATGACCTGTTGTTTTTGTTTCTCCCTCCTGTCCAGGACTAAGTTAGGACATGGCCTTCTCTCAGGCCAATATTCAAAACCTCCAGTGAAATCTGAACTCATAGAACAGGTGATGAAGGAGGAACACAAGGTATGTGTCTGAGTGGTTGCCACGTTGATATGTAGAAGGAGGGACTTTTACCAGCTAGAATGTGGATTCCCTATGATTTGGCAAATGGTGGCCATAAATTTAGCAAGCTGGCAGAATAGCCATTTCATTTCAGAGTCTAGGGTGTCTGTCTGCATGCTCCTAAAAACTGGGTGAGGAGTAGCCATGGTTGGGGTTTCTAGTGGCAGTAACTTCATGGATTATATGCGATTTCTATCATTAATGGTCTTCAGAAACAGGATTCTTCATAAAATAGAGCTGAGATGGAAGGAATAAACTTTATAAAAATATTAACATTTTCCCCTCGGTAACACGATCTTGGCCCTTACAGTGTCTTTCTTCTCCCAAGCCTCAACTTTGTTTGCTAGAGTTTCTCAAGAGGCTGGTTGGTAAAAACACACAGATTCCTAGCCCCTCCTAGAGCTGAGGATTCTGAAATTCTGGGGGTGGCTGGGCAGCCTTTATTTTTGGTAAGCTGCCAGGGGTTTGTAAGCACGCTCAAGTGTGAGAAACTCAGTTGGCTATTCTGCCATTATTAATTGATAGAGTAATTGAAAGATGTGCTGCGTCTGCTAACAGCCAGACTTGCATTTCCATGTGCCTACAGGATGGGCCACTGCACCCTCCCTGGGCTGCTCTGTTACACAACTCCAGAGGGCGCTACTTGCAACCTGGTCTTTCTGAGTGGTGCCCGTGGAGTTCTGCAGTGCACAGCTTACGCAGCTGTGTTGGCAGCCTTGGCGCTCATTGCTGCAGATGTCCTGAGGGGAATGCATGCCCCACTGCCCCTACACCTGCTCTGCCTTCAGAGTACTCTGTCTTGACTTAGTGGGCAAGTTCTTTCAATTCTGTTTCTCGGGTGTTTGGCCTCTGTGCTTCTATCTTAAGTCAGTCATCCTTAACTAATGCTTGCAGACTGAGAGCAAGAATTGAAAGTGAATAAACTCTTTTTCATAATGAAGCCAGTTAGATGGGGAAATGGAGCAAACAAGAGAAGGGAGATTATGAAGGGAACATATGGGCAGTGTTTGGGGGTGGGGAGAAGGAGGTAGGTTGTGAGGAGGGTGGACAGGGATATAGACATTCTGAATGGCCAGGCCAGGAGATCAGAGTGTCATGGGGGCAGGAAGCCTTAAGTTCTCCAGGTGCATTGTCATCCAGCGTTGCAAGATAATGAGTTCCTTACCTACCAGAGACAGGAGGACTGTCATCTGGGATGCAGTTGAGGAGATGGTTTGAGTGTAGGGCTATCCAGGTTTGGGGTTATCCAGGTTTCTTCCACCTCTCAGCTCCTGTGAAACTTTGAAGAGGAGATGGTAAAAAAAACTTGGTCTAAAATTTTGTTTTGCTCACATTCATCCTGAGATTGCATCCAGGCTGTCACTTCTTAGGCCCCTCTTAAGGCAGAGTCCACCCTCCCTGCTGGAGAAAGAGGAAACGGGATTGGGACTCGAGGGCCTGGCTTCCTCTTCTGGCTCTGCAAGGAGCCGTGGGACCATGGGCAAGTCACATAACCTTTCAATCTCAGCGACCAAACGGCAGAATTGGTCTAGGTGGTGGTTGTGAATATTGCACGTGTGAAGGTCCCTCTCTAATGTAAATAAAATCCGTGCCCATTACATGGCTGCTGTTGTGCTTTTGGAATTTCCTCATTTCAGAAAATGTGAAATGAAAACTCATCAATTTAGTGATGTTTAGAAGTAATATTTGGTTTTATTAATATTACAATGTCATTTTACGTTAGAAAAAAGGAAGTTCTCATATGAGGAAGGCACATTATTTATTCAGTTTACGAATAATGACTACTTGAGGCCCTTGCCCCCTCCTCACCATTGGATTTAGGGACCTGTGCAGTAGCTCTGTGATCTCCAGGGTCTGAGGCTTGCAGATGGGAACCACTGCTCTGTCTGGCTCAGGGTATGTAACCTGGCAGCATTTGGGCCATATTTGGCCTGCAGGTGTGTTTTGCTTGGTCCACACACATATACCTGCATTTCCAGCTTCTCTTAAACACTCGGAACCTTGGCAATTGCAGGCCCATAATAGCAGTTGCCTGAAGCTGAGTGGCAGCCTCCCTTCACACAGGACACTCAGTTCCCAGCTGGTTCCAGTCCCCTTGTGACTCATGACCTGGCCAGTACACTGGGTATTTGGGTGTGTAACCCTTGATCTAGATAATTTGTAAAATCCTTTCCCACTAGGAGGTGCCATGATCTAGTGGTCTTGAGGAAAGAATCCTGAGTGTGATCAGTGGTACAATGTGTATCCTGGCAGTGGTGGGGAAGGCCCGTCTGGCTGGGTGGGAAATGAGTGAGTCTTTGGTCCGAGTGTCAATAAGGCTTCTTTAACATTCAAAACAGAGCTTGAATTGACCCTATGATTTTCTTTTTGGCCCTAGAGATGTCAGTTTCAAACTGTTATTCAAACAGACAAGTAAGTCACAGTAACATGTCCACTCCCCTTGACGGTAGAGGGAATTACTTTCTGAGGCATCAGGATTTTCAGCAGCAGTTGGTTTCAGAGAAACCAATTTGTGAGAATCTTTCTTCTCTCAGCTATCAGGAGCCCCTTAGTCAGGTGGTCTTGTCCCAGGCCTCTGGCATTTGTGAATGTAGGTGAGCCTGAAGTGCCCCAAGGGAGGAAAGAAGATGTGCTGAAGCAGAGAGGGGGATAGATTATGAGAGGAATGTGTGGTGGAGGGGAGAGAGCATGAGAGAGGGGTCAGAGCCATGTGGCGAGAATGCCTTTTTACACGGCCACCACCACCAGTGATGCTAATAACTAACATTACGTAGTGCTTACGAAAGCTCAGGCTCATCCTGTATGTTCTCTGATGCAGAAATTGATGCACAGAAACCTTGCCTAAAGTTACAAAGCCCAGTGACTGGCAGAGCTGGGATTTACACGAGGCAGTCTGATTTCTGAGTCTGTGCTTTTGACCACTGCTCTAGCCTACTTCCCTGACAGTTGTTCCAGTACTTGGTTCCTGCTCCCAGGGCCTCAGTGTGTGGATGGTGGTGGGTGAATGACAGAAGGGGTGCATAAACTTTGCAGAATTACCAGGTAGCACAGTAACTTGGGTTTCTTACTTCTGTCTTACCTCTTGGGTCATTTCTAGAATGTATACTTCATGGTATTAAATTTATCTTCTACAGAGCAAGGTGAAATTGAGTTTTTATATATGCATGCTTAATACACATTTTCATCTGTAAAAAGATTTGCAGTATTTGTTTTGGGCGCTGCCATTTCTACATAAATTTGTTGAATTGATTTTTAAAATTAAATTGTGCCTGCAGTAGATAAAACTTCCTCACTATAAATGGACACTTTTTCTTCTTCAAAAAATATATTCCTGATCTTTATACATTCTAAGTGTTCACACATGTTAATGCTGAATACTCTGTAATTTATTTCTCCTTTTGAAGAGAACATGTTTTAAACAGTTCTGTATTCTGAACAAACTTGTTTCTTAAGCGACAATTCATTTGATTTCCCATCTAAATAATCCTTGACACATAATTGCTGGTCTCAGTTTTTGATCAACATGAGATAGCCAGTGTTCTACTTTAATGATGTAATTTTAGCCCCAAAAGTAAGAACTTTGTTTTCACTAACCTCCCTTTTCCTAGGTTGGGCAAATGTAGTATTTCTAATTTACCTTTTGAAGTATGAAGAATAGCTTGGGGGATGCCCTCTGTTCCTTTAGTTTAGGGGATTAGGGTTTGGACCTGGGTTAGGAACTACCAGACCAAGGTTTACGGTTTAAGGTTAAAAGTTTAAATCAACAGACGCCATCCACCTACGTATTAGGGACAAGCTGAGATGTGTCTATCTTTTTTTATTCCTGTGGTTTTACGATGTAAGTATCTGTGCAAGTGTTTCTCTAATGTAATATACAGTCTCAATCTTGCTGCTTGGTTATTAATTGAAGCATTAGGCTCAGGGGATGTGAGTGGGCAGTGTCAGGCTGCCTTCTTGGTGCAGCATTGAACAGAAAGTCCTGTGTAAGCATTTGGGAAAGATTCTGAACACCATCGTCTTCTCTCTAATTTTAGCTGGTCTGTTTTGCAGTTGCTTATAGAGAAAGTAAGTACAGTATCTATAAATATGACAGGTTCCTTAGGTGGTTGCTATTTTGGAGACTATTTGGGGCTCCCTTTTATACAGTTAGTTCTCAGGACTAGCCATTGCTTCAGGTGTCCAAGAGCTGGCTCACAGAGAGCACGTGCTTCCTGAAGGCAGGTCTGGCTCTTGGTCAATTTTGGTCTCCTCTCATCTTGTGCAGTGATAGGACCGTAGGGACACTTGGGTGATGTCACTGACCCACTGCCAACTAGGAAATGTGGTTTCTTTGACTTAGTTCTTTGGTACTTATTTTGGCTTTTTGGTTTCTTTTAAGTAACTACATTATCTAGAGTCTGGCCTTTTTAAAAAATATACTTAAATTGGCAAATATACACAGAAGTAGAGAGCAAAGTATAATGAGTCTCCATGCACCATCGTGTAGCTTCAGCAGTCACCATTCTGCCAATCTGGTCTCATCAGTTCCCCCTGAACTCATCTCTTCCCTTTCCTCCTTTCTTTTTCCTTCCCTTCCTTTCCTCTCTCTTCCCTGCAGTATTTTAACACAAAATCCATGCATCCTCCTTTTCACTTGTAAATAGTCAGCATATAGCTCTAACTGGAATACCTTCTTCTTCTCTTTTAACATGTAAGTATCATGTTAAAAGTTGTTTAGGGGCTGGCCCGGTGGCGTAGTGGTTAAGTGTGTGCGTTCCACTGCGGCGGCCCAGGGTTCGGATCCCGGGTGCGCACCGACAAACCGCTTGTCAAGCCATGCTGTGGAGGCGTCCCACATAAAGTAGCCCAGGATGTTAGCCCAGGGCAATCTTCTTCAGCAAAAAGAGGAGGATTGGCAGATGTTAGCTCAGGACTGACCTTCCTCACACACACACAAAAAAAGTTGTTTAAAGTGTTAGAAGCATACCACCAAAATTAACCACATTCCTCAGTATCATCTAACACCCAGCCCATATGTGGATTTCCCAGCAGTATGAAGGATGTCTTTTTTAAGTCCCTCCTCTTTTTCTTTTTGCAAGCTATTGATTTGTTGAAGGAGCGGGATCATCTGCCCCAGGATTGCGCTAAAGATTGCTTCCTTGAGGTATTGTTTAGCTTGTGTTTCTTATCAGCTGGAAATTAGATCTGGAAGCTTAATTAGATCCAGGCTTCATTTGTTTAGAGCCTGACTTTCTAATATACTGGATATGCAGTGTAATAGTAATAGTTGAGCATGGGAATTAGTGAGACCTCTCCTCTGAAATCAGAGATGGAGTAGGTATGTGGTGTGGGTGCAGGCAGACAGGGCCAGCTGATGATCAAGGCGTTAAGTGTGGAGTAGCCGAGTTGGAGCTAAAATGCTCAAACCCGGCTGTGAAAGCTAGGAGCTGGAGTGGGACGTGGAGAGGAAGGGCTAGCATCTCTCTGGTTAGGGCAATTTTTCAGATAACATCTCAATGGTCAACAATTCTCAAGCTATAGCTTGGCTGTTGAACAAAGGATTAAGAAAAGTCAGTCGAGGGAAACCAAAGAAATGAAATGGGCACAGAAAGAGAAGAGGCATAGGAGGGGAATGAGGGAGGCTGGGCCGCAGTCCCAGTGCAGGCCTTAGTTTCTGGGATTGTCACCATGGTCTCTGTTGAAACTTTTCCCAGTTGTACAGCCAGGTGGTGGCACAGAGTGACAGCGAGCTTTTCAGAATTTACTGACTTGTTGAACTTTTCAAAGCAGCTGCTTGGATGGGGACTGGCAGCCAGACCAAGCTTGAAGCATAGCTTGTAAGAAGTGACACCATCAGCAGGAGGCAGTGAGTGCGTGCTTATGTGAATGTCTGAACAGAAATGCACAATGCAAAAAGATTTATTCTAGTTGGTGCCTCTATAGTGCTGAGAGTGGAGAAATAATTGCTGGACGGACCTGTAATGTCAGCCCCAGAGGTGCCTGGGTTTGAAGAGGGCTTGCCTGGAGTCCAAGACATACTGTCTTCTTATTTTGGCAACTGGTAGGATGGACTCAGGGACATCAGAGATGAGAATTAGGCACATGTATGCAGAAGAGTATTAGTATGAGAAAGAGACAGACAGAGAGACACAGAGACAGTGAGACACTGAGAGAGCTGGACTGACTTTTCTAGCTGTGAGATCTTGAGCCAGTTCCTTAACACCTCTTTCCCTCAGTTTCCTCGTCTGTCAGGTGGAGAAAATAATAAAAATAATAATCACCTCATGAGGTTGGGTGAGTTAAGCAAGATACACATATAAAGTGCTCAGAACTGTGCCTGGCACCTCGTAAGTATTCATCCAAGTACCTAGAGTAGTGTCTGACATTTTATAGGACTCAGTAAAGATCCGTTGAATGAATGAATGAATGTTAGTATTATGCAAAGATAAGGCATTAGTATTGCGTGCATGTGTTGGCTGATACTATGTAGATAGACATCAGCATTGAAGTGAAGAATGTTACAACTTTTACGTAGTTTTCAGGAGGTTTATATACAGTTGGGAAATTAATTGTCAAGTGTAAATTGGTCTTTGCTGGAAGCACGTCTGAAGCCACATGTGTGTGTAAGCTGGTCATTTACGTGTAGGTTCCAAGTCCTCAGATGCCCAAATGCTGGTACTTTGGAGAATTCTCCTGTGTGAGCTGCTAGCACTGTTTCAGGTCTTCTGTGATGTTCCTGAACATTTGTTATAGAAACGTGTGTTGTCTCTCATCTCCCCTGTTGTCTATCAGTTCTTGGAGAGCAGAATCCCCCGTAGTGTTCTGCATGAAGTAGGTGGTTAGTAAATATTGAATGACTAGACCCTATGTTCAGCAAGACAGGAAAATTCACCTGAGTTTAGTTAGCAACATTGCTTAGAACATGCGCCTTGGAGAGATTTTATATGTAGAGCCGCCGGGAGATAGATATGGGAGTCTTCCCTCAGCTAGTGCATCTGACTGTGCGATTCTGCACACCTGTCATGGTCTCCAGACCCTAGGCATTGACCTGAATGTCCAGGAGACCTCAAAGAAGTGTGAGCCATGGCGTCTGCTTGTCAAGGACAGCAGTCAGGCTGAGGAGATGGGCCAGAAGCAGGCTGAAAGTTAAAGGAACTAGGAGGCATGTAGTGCCATATGCCCAATGATGGCCCAGATAGCAAGTTCTCTGGACTTCAGAGGAGGGTAACAGGGCCTAGAAGCTGAGCACATGGAGGTTTTGAGAATTGGGTGCGCAGGAGCCACCCATTTGCAGAGAGGACATCAATTATTTCTTTGCTTGATTGGCAAGGTGAGGTTTGTCTCACTGAGACCTATTGTGTGCTATAGATGCCACTTTGATTTTGCTGCAGAGACCTTGGACCTAGAATCAGAAGCTGGAGTCCTTTCTGGGTCTGCTCTTTGTTAGCCATATGGTAATCCGATCATTAAGACCACTTTCAGTTAAAAGACCTACCTGGCACTTCTCTGCCAGTCTCAGTTTCCCTAGCTATAAAATGGGAATAATGGTGGTACCTTCTTCATAGGGTTATTGTGAGTATTAAATGAGGTGACATGTAGCACCATTACTAGATGGGCTGACCTTGGAGAGGACACTCAGGAAATAGCTTTATCATGTGCCCCATCTCTGTCCTCAAAGGTGATGTGGAATCTTCCCACCCTGCCTCTTCAGAGCCCCTTAGGCAGATCGCCTAGATTTCTAGTGATTTCCTGCAGATTATCAGCATTAAAAGGTCTAGTTTACACCAGAGCTGGTTTAAAGCTTCTCTCCCCTACCAAGCTCAGTAGTCTTGGAAACCAGCAGTACAGAAGGGTCAGCTCAGCATCCTCTGGTATTCTTTTGTCTTTACTCCATCCCTTTGGCTCCTCCCACCCCCTCTGGCCTCTCCAGCGTCAAGGGTCAAGGGATGGGGAGATTAGAGAAGAGGCAGAGTCTTTCACTGTGTTTGGCTCCCTCTTGGCTGCTGTGTATCTTTGGTCATGGCCGGCCTTTTTGTGGGGGCACATGAGTGGTTCTTTAGAGATCCCCCTCCCACCTCCACTTGTCCCCTCAGGGACCTCCACAAGGACCTTTCCCCGATGCCTTGTCTAGCAGACCCCTGTGACCCCCCACCCCAGCTCCTACCCTGACTCTCCTTGGCTGAACGATCTCCTGTCATCTTAGGCAGTGTCCTTTCTGGAGGAGCCTGGCTGCCTTCTGAGCTCCTTTTAGCCCCTGGGGAAGTTCACACATCCTCATCCCGCCAAAGTTGTCCCTGCTGCCCAGTCTTCCCACTCTGCCATCCTGGCAGCTGCAGGTAGCCTCCTTCCGCTTCTCCAGGTGAGGGGCAAGCTCCTGGGAACTCCCTACGCTCTGCCCCAGAAACAGCCCAGGGCGGACTCATGAGCCTAGCGGCTCTGCAGTGGTTGCCTGGGGCATGCAATGCCACCTCCTTTTCTTGCAAGTACTCCAATCTCTGTGTGGGATTCTCTCATATTCCCACATAGGGAGGGAAGGGAGATGCTGCGGAGCTCTCCTCTCCTTTAACTCCCTTCAGAGGACCCCCCCTCCCTAATGCCTCTCTGGCCTGCTCTGAAATAGGCTGTAATGCACCAGTTCGGCCACCATGTAGCAAGTCCTGTGGGGATGGGCCTAGTGCCTCTCTTTAGAGAGTGGGGTATTTATCGTGTCTCTAGTTTTGAGTCAGCAGGAAGAGTCCCGTCCTGTTCTCACGTCTGGTTCGTAGTGAGGTGTCTGGTACGTACTAAACATTTCAGTGTTCCCATCTGAAAATTGGGGCTTATGGTAATCCTCACTCTGCTTGCCACTTAGTGCTGTTACTGTGTATGAAAGTATTGTAAGTTGATTTTATTTTTATATTTTAGCCTCAACAGAATGGGATCTCTCCACGCATGTTTAAGGCCTTTGTAAGCAAGAGCCACCCAGAATTCTCCTCCAATAGACAGCAGGATGCCCAGGAATTTTTCTTGCACCTGGTGAATCTGGTAGAGGTGAGTAAGTCAGTCTTCAGAAATGCTTAAAAGGGTTGTAATAAGTGTGCCCAGCCCCTAAGTGTGGTCCACTCTGGCTCGGCAGGAATACCCTCCCTTGCCTCCCCTTACCTACATCTCTCTCTGTCCAAGCTTGGTCAGAATTAGCTTCTTTGAGGCTTTCTCTGCTCAGCCCACGTGATGTAATGGCTCCTTATGCCCTGTTTTCTAGGTGCTTGTGTATGTCCCTGGTCTCCCTCTAGTTTGTCCATGTTATGGGAATGTTTGTCAGTTATTTCATTCACCGTTTTTTTTTTGTCTCCGTGAGGAAGCTCCTTGCGATTCCTGTGTGATATTTGATGTCTTCCTGCCACCACTTAGAAATGGTCATACTTTGCTCACAGCAGAGTCAAATCACATTAAATACTGTGGTTTTTAAAAGCCACTGAGAATTCATGATTAAAGGCTTTTTTCCCCTCTTTATTTATTTTTTTAAAAGATTTTATTTATTCATTTTTTTTCCCCCCCAAAGCCCCAGTAGATAGTTGTATGTCATAGGTTCACACCCTTCTAGTTGCTGCACGTGGGTCTCGGCCTCGCGTTGGATGGAGAAGTGGTGCCTTGGGGCGTGCCCGGGATCCGAACCCGGGCCGCCAGCATCAGAGCGCGCGCACTTAACCGCTAAGCCACGGAGCCGGCCCTTTTTTCCCCTCTTAAAAAAACAACTACTTTTTTTTCTGATTACAAACGTGTTCTTTGTGGAAAATATAGAAAGGCACAAAGAAGAAAATCAAAATCGCCTGTAATGTCAGCCCCTACACACAACCAGTGTTAACAGTTTGTCTAACCCAACAGTCCTTTTTCAGGTACATTTATTAATTCTCTATGTGCTGCTTTGTAAGCAATGTTTTCCACTTAACCTGTTGTGAACGTTTTACCATGTCATTACGAATTTGAATATAGCAGGATTTCTTTTTTATTTGTATATAATTTACATGAATGCATTTATATAATCATATCATACATGCGTTAATTTTTCCTCTATTTTTTTCCCCTTTCTCTTTAGTTTGGCTCCCTCATCCCCTTTCTTCTAATTCCATCTAGGTCAGTTTCTCTCCCATTATGTTTAATGACTGCATAATGTTAATTCACACAATGAACTATAATTTATTTAAACAATCCTCTCTTTTTGTACTTTAGATAAATACCATTGTTTTGCTATTAAAGTACTCCGGGGAACTGGCATGCCCCGAGGGAATCTTTAGTAACACCAGACCTTTATACCAGATTTATATTTGATTTTGTCAATTTTTATTCATGGCTTAATATTCATTCATTTATTTATTTATTTATTTAATTTTTGTTTATTGCAGTAACATTGGTTTATAACAATGTATAAATTTCAGGTGTACATCATTATACTTCTATTTCTGCATAGATTACGTCATGTTCACCACCCAAATACTAATTACAACCCATCACCACATGGCTTAATATTCATAAATTTACTAACCTGATATAATCCAACTTGCAGAGGAACCGCATTGGCTCAGAAAACCCAAGTGATGTTTTTCGGTTTTTGGTGGAAGAACGTATTCAGTGCTGTCAGACCCGAAAAGTCCGCTACACGGAGAGGGTGGATTACCTGATGCAGTTACCTGTGGCCATGGAGGCAGCAACCAACAAGGGTAACGGTTCCAATGGGAAATCAGCACGGTGCTGCTTCATATGTGGAAACCTTCCATCAGAGATAATATGGTTTAAAAGTTGCGTTAGAAGTAGACCCAGCCCAGATGGTGTCTGGTTTGCGTGTCTCTTTTCATCTTTTCCTCAGTCCTCATGTGACTTTCTTTTGAGAAGAATCAAATGCATCACAGATTTTGTGGAAGGGGTATGGATGGAACCTACTTCAGTGCCTATAAGTTTAACCAACTGGTTGGCTTAGAGTCAGCTTAATTTTGGGGAAAACTATTTGAATTATATATGTGGAAAATGCTTTAACATTATGTCTCATAAGTTGTGCCATAAAGTCTAAGGGAAATGATCAGAACTGCGTTTTTTGATGTGAGACATTCAAGTGGAGGTTTCTTGAAGTAATTCATCTTTGGCATCTGAGTATTTAAGATGCTGCTTGTGGGAGAGAAAGTGTGGCAGGGCTCTTGGAGCGAGGCCCGTTAGAAGGGTCTCTGGACTTTGGAAGCAGGAAGAAGGCAGAGATACGACAGCCAGGTTGGGGTCTCAGGAAGGTTCCTTCAGTCTATCTAATCTGGTTCTTCCCGGGCAGAATAGACGAATGGTATTAGAATTAACATCTTACAAGCAGAAAAAGGCAAAATATCGCTAGATTGCTTATCTTCTGTGAATTGGTCAATTCTGTAAAGTTCAACAACTCCCTGGGTGGCCCTTTTCCTCTTTTTTGGTCTTTTCTTCACTTTATTGTGCTAATTCGAAAGTGATGGCTGTGATGCTTTTAAGATAAAATGACTTTCACTTTCTGAAAGCTCGTGCAGTTTTTTACCAATTTTTAAAATTCTTATCCATTATACAAGGTAGAAATGAGGGTGGAGGCCTGTGGTTTGTTCCCTTTTTAGAAGTTGGCTTAATTGCTTTCCCTTGCCTGTTCTGCTCAGTTCTATGATCTTCTCTAACTCACTGTTTATCATTTACGAGTGATAACTGTTTTTTTCAGAAAAGAGATTTATGATTTAGTCTTTGGATATTGTTTGCCCAGAACACCTAATGCTAGCATCCTAGATATACATACGTCATAAACTGATTGTGGCCTGAGGGAATGAATTTTAAAAGCATATTTAGATGTTTTGAGAAAACACAAAAGTGCATCAGTGTGCTGAAAAACTGATAAATCAGGAGTGATTTTATTTTTCTTTTGTAGTACAAAAGGAATTCCCAGAAAGGTCCATTCAAAATCTGTATAAAACTTGGACTTAACAGGTAGTTTCCAAGAGCAGATCTGCTGACTCTGGGGAAGTTCCCTGTGCACTCGCTTCTTTTTCCCTTGGTATTTAATCACTTGAGCAGGGATAGTGTAGAAAGGCCTTCTAGTTGGTGGCTCTGATATCTGAGGTGTTGGGTAACCCCAGCCTGAAGTTGTCTCAGTGGTGTTGGTGAGTGTCGCGGGCTGTGGGCAATGGATATGACTGCAGTCCTTGTAGTTGGTCCTGCCTCTTGGCCCACACCTTCCATGACCTCCAGTCTTAGTGAGGGGCCTGGGAAGAGGTGAGCCCTTGGGTCTTTTTCAGTGTGAAATTCTCTAGTGTGAAGACTTTGCGATTGGAGGGTGGTGTTTGGGTAAAACCAGCCTTGACCTCTGGGCAAATGAAAGACCGGGTTTGTGCATCACTTACATCACTCGCGTTGTCTGAACCTCTCACCTGGGCCGGAGTTCACAGTTCCCTCCTGTCAGTCTCGAAGGGGAATGGGCAAAAAAATATGAATGGCTCGATGCGGGATGTCAGTGCCACTCTAAAGATGGCCCCGAGAACAGCCTTTCAGCAGGCTTCTCCAGATCTGTGAAGGGCAGCAAGTAGGCAATCCTGCCCCAGCCCAGAAGCCCTCGGGGCAGATTGTCCAAAGAGGGTGGTGTTTGTTTCAAGGAGATGAGAGTGATTGCAAGGTCATTCATTTGCTCTTTCACTCAGATGAGCTGATCGCCTATGAATTAACGAGAAGGGAAGCAGAAGCAAACAGAAGACCCCTTCCTGAGCTGGTTCGTGCCAAGATACCATTTAGTGCCTGCCTTCAGGCCTTTTCTGAACCAGAAAATGTTGACGATTTCTGGAGCAGTGCCCTACAGGCAAAGTCTGCGGGTGTGAAGTAAGTGTGTATGTGTGTGCATGTGTGTGTGTGTGTTTGTGTGGTGGTTGTGGGGTGAGAAGGGGGCCTTGAGAGGCGGGGCCTGGGGTGGGGGAGAGGTGGTAGGGTGTTGTATGAGTCTGCGCAGGCTTGTTCATGTGTTGTGAGATGGGGTTGTGATTCACACAATCCTGGTTGTCATAGATCTCACTGTGTGAGATCTGGCCAATAAAATAGGCTTATAATCTGTATTACACACTAGGGAGGGATTACCTTTTTTTTTTTTTAAAGCAGGGTTGTGGTGTATCCTCATTTGCTTTTTTTTTTTTTTTTGCTGAGAGGCTATAGCCAAGGAACCCCCCACCTCCCACGGCAAGAATGATATTAATGTAGAAATTACAAAAATACTTATGACAATCTTTGATATTTAAACTCCACTGTGATAGATTTTAATTCCATAATTAAAGACTTGGCTTAGAACTTGGTGACTGTGTTCCTACCAGAGACCAGGGGTCTCAGGGCATCTCCAAATGGTCATAAGAGATCCTGAGCATTGTTCAAATGAGCTGCCTAGAACTTAGTCAGAAAGTGTTCTGTTTCCACATTATGAGCCTTGTTGTCATAAACATAAAACATAAAAATTTTTGTTTCTCCACTTGATGCCTTAATTGATTTTATGCAGTCAAGTCCTTGCCAATACACTTTATACACTTGGAAAAAGAGTGCTCATAGTGGCATAAAATGGGGGAGGTCTGAAAGTTTGGCTCTGGGAATTTCACTGCTTTTAAATATTCTTTGGGCATTTTCCTTTTAAACTAGGATTGAGCCCTAGCTGGTGTAAAGGAGAGCGAAGGATAGAAGAGCTCCTGCTGGCTGTTTTTATCACAACCTCAAGTAGCAGTCAAACCTAAATCACTTATTCTCTGCAACAGCCATCCCCTAGGATTCCTCTTTGTTTCAGATGCTCAACTTCAGATGTTAAAAATGGGAAAACAAAAAGAATTTATTTCAAAGGCTAGAAAAAAATGCCTTATTTTCTTAAAATAATTTTTAAAAAATTATTCTTGATGTCCAAATGAGGATTAATAATAGTTCATTCAGTTTTCAGTTATCCATTGCAGGGTAAGTTTTCATCGTAGGAGGGCTCAATTTTGGAGTGTGTGTGTCCTGGAAGATGATAGTTGGTGAATTGTCATGTTAAATGTGCAAGATTCACTTCATTGCAACTTGGAGACATCTTTGAGCAGTTAGAAATCTATACACTATATTAGTGGTGGAAACAAGTTCTTTAATTATTTCTTCCCCCAGCTTTATTGAGCTATAGTTGACATATAACATTGTGTAAATTTAAGGTGTACAATGTGTTGATTTTATTTTTTTTTTACTTAATTATTGATGATAGGCTGAAGATTCCTCACACATTTATCCTTTGCTCTTTGAGCTTTAATTCTGATTCTGTATGGGAAGAGGAAGCCATCAGGGACCTGGCAGCCTAGAAAGCCCCCAGCATCAGGTGTGAGCTGCCGAGTGTTCTTCATTTGCCTGTCTGCTTGGCCATCCTTTTCTTCTCTTCAGAAAAGTGGCTTCACATCTTAGAAGTGCAGGGTGTGCCATGCTCTCTGGGCCTGTAGGAAGGAGACTTCTCATTCCTTGGAAAAGGCCTATCTTTAAAATGGAGACTGGAGGCATTAGCTTTCCACCCAGGCGGGGTCTCTGACCCCGGGGCTAGTGGTCAGGAGATCTGGATTCTTCTCCTGTGACAGTGTCACCACCCAGTGTCCTGCTTCCATCTGTAATGGAAGAATGATGCTTGCTGACCTGATTTTCTCAACTGCTACAAAATATTTAGTTGTAGGCAGTGGTAACATAACTACTAGAATCCCTGAGGAAGGGTTTCTGCTTTCTGTAATCCTTAACAGTAAATGTTAAACATGTTTTTCCTTTTTCTCTGTCTTTTACATATATACATGCTCTTATGGTTTTATGTATATGAAAAAAATTAATACTGGCTGTATCACAATTGTTAACAATTGAAAATGGGGCTTTGTGGGAAAGGAAAAAACAATGTTTTAGGGTAATAAAGCAACTACCATTTATTGCACATTTATTATTCCAGGTCATGTGCTAAGCACTTCCCATCGATTATCATTTAATCCTCTTAGTACTACTATGAGGTAGGTGCCATTGTTCTCCCCATTTTACAGATGAGGAAATAAAGAGAAGCAATTGGCCAGTAAGTGGCAGAGTTGGGATTCATGCAGGTCAGTTGAGTTGAAAGTGTAAGGTCGTAATCCCTGTGTTATGTAGTGCACCTATATTTCTTCTCATGCTTGCTTATCCTTATATCCTTATACATAATCCTTATATAGCCTCGCTTATTCCTTATTATGCCTTATTATGTTTCAAATATTAGATTTGGGGAAACCGGTTCAGGGGATTCCTAAAAGTTTTTTTTTTCTTTTTCTTATTTCCACCAATATAGGCTGTGACTCAGACACGACCTCCTTATTTTGTTAATTTGGGGCCTTGAACTTGCTTGTGTTAGACCCAGAGCCTGAAAGGTAGGAAGAGACAAAAAATGTCCTAAAGAGCTTGGAAGGGTTTGGATCAGTATGGACCAGACATGCAGACCCTTCCTTTAAATGGTCCTGAGCAGACTGTGGCTGGGGTGGATGCTAGTGTTTGAAATTTCATTCAGTCAGCAGATATCATTGCTCCCCTAGTGTATTCTAGGCAATGAGTTGAATAAGATCTAGTTTCTGCCCTTAGGCAGCTCACAGATTAAGGGTCAATAGGGAGAGATTTTGTCTTGACCGTTATCATTTATGAAGGGAAGAGCACGGTGTGGGGTTCCGGAGCACAGGCTTTAGGTGGATGGGCGCTGTTTGAATCCCCAGTGTGGAACTGGCTGGTCTGTGACCTTGGCTAAGTGACCTCACCTCCCTAAGCCCCTGTTTCCTCATCTGTAAACTCGGGATAATAATAGTTCTTTCCTCATAGGGTTGAGGTGAGCATTAAGGTGAGATAAACCATGGAAAGTACTCTGCACAGTGCCTGGCACAGGGTAAATATATGCTGTAATTGTTATTACTGGTATTTTTATCTTTCCTTTTTTTTGTCTTGGGTTATACAATTTGACTGTGGTTGATTAATTATCATATTTTCAACATATTGAATGAGAGGGATAGAATTATATATTTTTTAGTCATCAGATTTTCAATACATTAGACAATCTTAATAATTTCAGGGAGAGGGACAGCTTATATATTTTTTTAGTAAGATTTTCAGAGTGCTTTTGCCTTAATTGTAATTAGTGAACAATTGAAATATTTTAAATACCAATACTAGGTTGTCAACAGACAACACAATAGTGTTGTCAGGCACTATTCTAAGCACTTTATATGTCTTAACTCATTTAATTTCCATAGCAATTCTTTGAGGTAAATTTATTGTGTGTCTCTCTAGACCTTGTGAATGATTTACATTCCAATGGTCTTTTTTAATATATAACTTTTCAAGAAAAATTTTAATTCCAGAAATTAATTTTAGGAACAAAAATGTAAGTGGTGCATAATTTATATCTTTGCTGGATTCAACTGACAAACTTGATGTGCCAAACCTGACATTAATGAATGCAAAATATTAATTCTGAGGGTGATTTAAACAAATATGTATTGAGCAGTTGCTACATGTGTGATTCAACTTGAGACCCTGTAAACGTTACAAAGATGAATAAAGAATGTTTACCCAACAGGGCAAATATAGTGTGGGCATCATCTAACCTGCTTTATGGTTGATTCCCCACCTAGATACTGACACAGAGCTACTGCAAGAGTTTTGGGGCTCCTGAACCACATTTGGGAAATCATTGATTTACTGTTGACTTTTGGTTGATTTCACCATTATATATTTTTCAGATCTTAAGTAAATGTGGTAAGAGGAAAAGGTCAGAGAAGTGACAGTTTTACATTAGTTGAAAATATCAGATGGAGTTTCTTGGGTTTTGGTGTAGTTGAGGAATTTAAGTAAGAATGATGTTTATTACTGTTTATCAGAAGATAGGAAACCTAATTAGAGATAATATATAATTTCTGAAGAGCAAGCCAGGATAATAATAGATCAGTTCCTTAGGATAGTTAAGCTCCTGTGTTTTGAAGAAATCCCTTATGTTATTGCCTGTACCCTTCTACCATCCTTGCGATGGAGAATTTGAGATACAGAGAGGTTTAGTGACTTGCCTGGGGCAAAATACAGGTCAGTGACAGACAAAGTCAGTGTTCAAGGCCTCATGGAGTCCAGCTCTTTCATGACAAAATAGTCATGCTAATTCCTTAGGTATACATAGTACATTCTAGTGTGTCGAGCGGTTTCACATCATTTCATGAACATCGCACAGCCCTGGCAGGTAGATAGTATTAATAAATCCATTTCATAGATGTGAAAATGCAGCCTCGGGGAGAGTCAGTGAACCTATCCGGATTTGGAGTGAATTAAGTAGCATATCCTAGACCCAAATCCACATCTGTTGACTTTTTTTAGACAGTGCTGTCCCTGTACTGTGGCTTCCCTTCTACACTAGGGGGCAGCAATGCATTTTCTTTTGTTTTGTGAATTCTGGGATGATGTCTTCCAAGTAGAAGGCAATGACATATTTCAAAAGTGGAGTTTGTGGGGAGAGTGTTCTAGAATCTTTTATTTTAAAAGGTATCTGTCTACAGCTAATTTTATTTTTCACATTTATCTGCTATACCCACATTGACACTCCAATAGAAATAGTTGTTATAAACAAGATGATAAATATGGAGAGAATGAGCTGGAACTGGGGCATGAATTTGGTGTACAAATTGAATAGCCTGTGCATAAAATTGTCAAACCCAAGTCCAGGCCATTCAGTCTTCCTGAAAGTTTGAAGGGAAACTCAAGACATTGACCAAATGAACTAATTTAAAAATTTAAGGCCCAGATTTAGATATTTTAGATACTTACCCCATAATATATATACCTTCAGGCTCCACGTGACCATGGATTTTAGGTGCAGTAGTATTTTAATGAGGCCCTGGCATTTCCAGTCGTCAACCTCAACCCAAGTTCCAATAAACCCTCCTCATGCCAACTTTGTGCTGTAAGTCAGTGACTCTCGGTGGGTGTGGGGGTGTGTAAGGATTGCTTGGGGAGCTTTTGCAAACCCCACATACAAACACATAATGCACGCGTGCCCGCATACGCCTACAAATATATATACCAAATTCTAGCAAGGGTTTAGAAAAAACAAATGTGTGTAGTTGAAAAACACTTTTCAGAAGTATAAAATGCCGCAGCAAAGTAACAGTAATAATTTTGCAGTGTGCTCAGAATAATTCTCAAGGGACAGCATTCTCCTCCATTAAACATTTTCTTCTTGTGAAAAGGCCAGGATGAATGACCAGGAGCGGGTGAGTGTATGTCCGCTTATGTCTGTTTTTCGCGTGTTCCTCCTCTTCAGTCCAGTCGTTGAAACAGTCAGGTATGCCTCAGACAAAGCTTTTGATGCTTCATGAACTGTATTCACAATTCTTATTGCCTTGTTTCATTGATCTAATCCCCTTGTGTTTCCCAGAACATCTCGCTTTGCCTCATTCCCTGAATACTTGGTAGTGCAGATAAAGAAGTTCACTTTTGGTCTTGACTGGGTTCCCAAAAAATTTGGTAGGTATCTTTTGCATGCTTTTGCTTAAAACCTCAAATTAGCCATTTAAAAAACATGGCATGTGAAAGAGCCTGTGTGGTTGGCTGCCTGAAACAGTTCCGTTTCATTCTTTTTCCATTGTTCCCACCTTTTTCTTTTGAATCCGAGTGTATGATAAGCACTGAATAAAAATTACCACATGCTAACCCCTCCCAATAATGGGTTCTGGAATGACCGGACTCTAAGAGTGAAAACAGGATCCCCACATTATCAAATAAACAATGCGTCCCAAACTTGAACATGCATACAGATTACCTGGGATCTTGGTAATGCAGCTGCTGATTCAGCAGGTTTGGGGTGGGGTCTGGGGTTCTTTATTTCTAACAAGCTCCCAGGTGTGCTGATGCTGCTAGTGCTGCTGGTCCAAAGACCGCACTTGGAGATGCAAGTAACTGAAGATACACTCTCCTCTTAGCATCTCCCCTCTGGCTCTGAAGCAGGCAGGTGTGGCTTATGACATTCTCTTAGATCATACAAATTTTATTAATAATAAAAAGAGTACAGTCAGTTGCATTAAATGGTCAAAAAAGGGATGTGACTTTGGCTTAATTGGACTTTCTTCTTGCTAATTTTAAAGGCCCTTGACCATTGTTAGAGGTTGGTTTTCCAGACTATGCATAAGGACAATTTCTCCACCATCATGCTCTACTATCAAGGTGTTAGTTGACTGTCCTTAGTGCTGTGGAAGGATGTCCAGTTTTACCCTTGGTGGTTTCTCAAGCAGGTACCTCAGACTGTTTGCCAGACCTTTAAAGTTTTTATGTTTTGAGCACTTAAAAAAAACAACAACTCAAGTCTTACTCTGGTTAATTAAGCCCTTATCTGCTCATCTGAAGGGGGTACGTAAAAAGAATGTAAATTGGCAGGAGAAATTTTCCAGAAACTTCCAGCACTAATGGTTTACATGGCACTGTTTGCCACATGAAATTATGCAGGGCTGAGACTGATTCTGCAGCAGATCTTTGCTTTTTCTGGCAGAATAATTTTGTGGGCAGGATGCTCATCACTCAACCTTTTCTCCATGGACCTGAGAAGTACTGAGAGAGAAAACTGACTCTTCTAAAGGCTTTGAACTGCTTTAGAAACAGTTTTCTTATGTTTCTTTGTCCTTGGAATTTCTGTAAAGGATATAAAATTCAGGTCAGATTTCACAGACTTGCTGAATTTAAAGGAGCCACAAAGCTTTCTTTAATGAACCTGAATTTTTCTGTTGAGAAAGAATTGTATTGATTTTGTTGGTCAGACATTATGTTTTTTGCTGTCCCCTGAGACTTAAATTTGTTTTTTAACTAAGTTTCTTCTTTGGGTTGTTGTTTTAAAATAGGATTTATGTATCTGGCATTATCACTGGTTTTGGGGATAGTCTTTTCAGGTTCTGTTTGCTAGCCCGAGAGACATATCCTGCACCAACATTTGAACCCATTTTTAATTATAATCATATCTGAATGTGTGCAATACTGAATCTCAACAGGCTATTAGACTGATAAATTTTGTATTTGAGTAAGTCAATGTAATAACAACTGAGCTGAGAAGTTAAGAAAATATACCCAAGACTAATATACTTGAGATTCAATTAATTTCTTTAAAACTTAATTTCTTATTTATTACCTTGTTTAGAATAATTGCAGTACCCACTATGATCTGAGAAAAGGCATAAACTAGGGGTTGCAAACTCAAATGCCTAACAAGACAGAATGATAATGTAAATGAAAGAGGTAGGCTGGGTGTAAGAAACATGTAGCTAGCTATCTTGGTCTTTCTTGGGTATTCCCACTTTGGATAAATACATGGATTAGAAAAACATTTCTCTACTATAAGAATCAGAATAGCACAAATATGATGCTTAAGATCATGGGGGCAATAGGGAGTGGTGGGGTCTGTGACAGACTCACAGAGAGCACATATTGTCTAGAGTGGAAGCTAAAGATCGGCCTCCAGGCAGTTGTTACCATATGAGAATATGCTACAGCTTTCTGTTTTATAAAATAAGCTGGAAATCTGGATTTTTAAATTAAATTTGATTTAAAAATTGGAATTTGTTGCCATCATTTTAAAAACATCAAATGGAAAATGTCTGGGCTATAAATGGTCTTTGGGCTACCAGTTTGTGACCTCTGGCTTACCCCATTTGTTCTTGTTCATTGTGAAATCCTGCTGCCCTCTATACTTTCCCCTGGTTCTCCATTAACATCTAATCAGTCTCGATGAGTCTGCTGGTCCAATGATCTACTCTAGGGCCTGAAAAGCATCCCTTAGCTCTGCCTAGACACATGCATGTAGAGTTAGTGGTGCTAGTTTTAGGAGGTGATTGTGGGCTTTTTGAGAATCCAGTGAATGTAATCTCTCTCATTTTGCAGATGTTTCTATTGATATGCCAGACCTACTTGATATCAACCATCTCCGAGCCAAGGGGTTACAGCCAGGAGAGGAGGAGCTTCCAGACATCAGCCCCCCCATAGTCATTCCTGATGACTCAAAAGGTACTGTCTTCTGCCAGGAGGATGTTCTCTACCACTTCCCCCACCCTCCTCTGCTGGAATAGTCACTTTTCTCCCACCACTCTGCTGTCCCTTCCTGTGCTATAACCCACCATAGACACACAAGTGAGGCCTGGCTGCAACTGTGAACTTAAAATAGACATGGGAAGAAGCACAGACCCATCACAAGTAGTTGAAACAGACCTGTGGAAATCACTGGCAATAGAGGGCTGCCAATCTCCCAAAAGTTTTTAGGTTATGTTGCCTCTGGCTTTGCCTCCCTCCTTCCTTCTCCTTCCCCAACATGGGCCCATAGGGAAGAGAAGGAGTATGTTTTCAGTAGGCTCTTAGTCTAGGGGAGCTGTGTCATTCTTGGAAATACTTTTGGACAAGCAAAAGGGGAAATTCAACAGTGCATGTTGGTTTTAAAAATCTTGCCCACATCTCACCTCCCCAGCTTCATAGCAAGGGATCGGCTTGAGTTTCTTTTTCACTCTGTGAATGCTAAATTGGTCATTGTTCAGAATACTTCACTTTTTAAGGGAAAAGGACATTCAAAAAATAATTGCCTCACCTTTGTGGGTCCAAGAACATTGTCAAAAAATCTTGGTTCCATTATGAGCTCAGTTATTCTGATGAAATCAGCTTTATTCTGGCTTCATTTGCACACCTGTTTACCAATCACCTTCCTAATGAGTCAATTAGGTAATTAGTTAATCGTGATAGAGCATGCTGGGCCCTTCTACCAAACGTTTTTCATCGACTGAGCAATGAATGTTGTTGGGGACTATATTCGGGTGCAAATGAAGGGTAAGGTGAATGCAGGACGATCAAGATAGGATTCAAGATAGGCATCTTTGTTACTTTATTCTCTCATGCTAAGTCAAATGTTAAATTACAGAGTACGGAGAGTAGAGAAGGGACCTGTACGTGGGGCAGTCTGGGTTATGTGGTACAGGTGGTTCATTAAAAGGGTTCGAGAAAGAAGAGATCAGTATGGGCATCAGAGAAATACGAGATGGTTTATTAGCACTGCTCCTGCTTTCTCTGCGGTTCATAACAGAATCCTAGGTTTGTAATTGTATAATTACAATTAGTAATTCTTAGTAATACAGAGAGAGAAATTATTTAGTTCATTTCTTTTTTTTTAATTGAGATAACATTGGTTTATAATATTGTCTAGGTTTCAGAACATTATAATTTGATTCTTTATGTACTACAGTGTGCTCACCACCAAAAGTGTAGTTTCCATGTTATTTAGTTCATTAAGGTGGTAGAGCATCATGTTTTAGCTGCTCTAAATGCCTGAAACCTGATATTTTCCCTCCTCACTGTAATGACTTTATGTCGTGCAGGCTGGGGTGGTCTGTGTGGGGACTTGAGGGGTTGACAACAGTTTGGGATCTCAAGGGGTTGGGGGTGGGGGTTAGGGAGCGCCCTGGATTAACTCATTCTTTCTCTGAAACTCTTTGCTCTGGTTTGGTCTCATTTTTTGCACTCTCCCTTAATTTCCAGATCGCCTGATGAACCAATTGATAGACCGTATGTATCTTTTGAAATTTTTCTCAGTGTCCTGCAATTGTTAGTGGTCTGACACATTTATCTGTGGGAGTTCAGTAAAGGGGCATTGTTCTTTACATGTGTATATGCAGCTTTTCCTGATGGGAATGATTCTTTGTCTGCAAGTTGAGTTGGCAGCAAATGTAAACCAGTGACATGGTGATTTAGGTGGCCCTGTAGCTCAGGACAGTGACCATTAGCATAGAGCCAATAAGCCCTGGGATGGAGTCTTGGCTCTGCCATTTAAGACTATGTGACCTAGGATAATTTACTTAACTTCTCTGAGCCTCGATTTCCTCACATGTGAATGGGGTACGATGATGCTATTTCTTCCCTCTCTGGCCACATGAGTAGGCCTCTTTCTACAATTATGGCACAGTGGGCAGTCATTTTTTCCACTCCTGCCGCTGGACACATAACAAAGACAAACGACTGAGAGGACATGGTAGTATTAATTAATACTCTCAAGGTTGTTAGTTTCATTGGATTGTTTTGTTAATTTTGTAGCCTTTTAGTGCCTTAATCCTGAGGGAGTTGATACTCTTGGTTTTCAAGAAAGAACATTAAAAAAATAAACTATTAATAGTGAATATTTAGATATTAATTGGTAGGAAGAGAGAGTAGACACTAAATACTCTAAATCTTTTTGTCTACAAAGCCTTTCTGGAGATGAACTATTGTTAATTTAGAAGTTTGAGTGTTCCATATTGCAGATGATTGATTGTGTGGCTTAAACCTCCACATTTGCTTTCTTGGGTCTGTTATAATTTGCTAATTGCTAGGAGAAGCTGTTAGGGTCAGCAAGGGTCTTGGGAAAACCATTGCCACTGTGAATAATCTAACTGAAATAATAACAATGGCTGTTAATATTTTGAATGGTTACGATGAGTCACAGTGCATTGATTATTCCATAAATTCTTTCAACAGTGTGTATTTACTATTTATACAAAGTCCAGGTTCTCATTTGATTATCACAGTTAGAAGGGCAGGGCAGGTGACCTTTTACAGAGGATAAAACTGAGACCCAGTCAAGTTCGGAGACCCAAGGGCTGGACCAGCACCAGCACTAGGAGTCTGGTGTGCTTTTCATGCCGCTTGACCTTGCCTGGACTGTGAGAGGTCTGCTGGCTGCTCCTGATGCTGCAGAGAACTGGCCTGCAGGATCTGACCCCAGGGGAGGTGGTGGGTGGTTGGAACTGACTGTGCAGGAGGAGGCCGTCTCTGACAGTGAGCACCCAGCCACTTTTCAGTGTTACTGGTTTGGCCATTGATTACCCCTGGATCTAAGCCTGCTGTTTTATCAGCCATTACCCGTACTCAACAGCAGAAAATAGAATTAACTGGGCTTATTTTATATTTATGTCCTAGCTTTATCAGATTTTTAAAAGGAATAACATTGTTTTCTTGTTACAAACATAAAAATATACTTAGAAACTATGGATTAGCAAGAATCGTCTGTGGTTTCATCACCCATCCATAACCACTGTTACCATTTGGTGTATATCCTTCTACTGTTCTTTACCTGTGCTTGGCTCACTTTATTTTTCACAAGAATGGAATTATACATTTCAGTCCAATATGTTATTATATACATATGTACACTCCTTATTAAGCTGCACTTCTTAAACTGCATTCTAGGGAACATTTGAGTCTTACAAGCTGTTGAAAGGTGTTCTGCAGAAGGACTTTCATAGTCTCCTTACTATAGGAGTCTTTTTTTTTTTTTTTTTGTGAGGAAGATCAGCCCTGAGCTAACATCTGCCAATCCTCCTCTTTTTGCTGAGGAAGACTGGCCCTGGGCTAACATCTGTGCCCATCTTCCTCCACTTTATGTGGGACGCCACCACAGCATGGCTTGCCAAGCGGTGCGTCGGTGTGTGCCTGGGATCTGAACCGGCGAACCCTGGGCTGCTGCAGCAGAGCGCGTGCACTAAACTGCTTGTTCCACTGGGCCGGCCCCTGTAGGAGTCTTTATTATAGGACTTTTGGGTCTTCACTATGCTAATACGCATTATAAATTTCTAAGGGGAGAATTGAGAATGTGGGTTTTAAAAATTTATTTGACCATGGAAACCCCTTGTTTTGTGGTTCAATAATTATATCTCTCTCAGATCACTAGAATACCGTAGAACACAATTTGGCTATCACTGTTGTCCTACGTCATTGCTTTCTTAAAATTTGACCTTGATAGTATGCTCTATGTATCTTCCTTGTAAGAGAGAACTTTGGTAAACACTTTCAATATAATTTTTGTAAAACAGGTATCTCTATTCCTGAATTCTATTAATTGCCATCTTTGGCAGAATTTTCAGTAGATTAGAGACCTCAGGACATGGAAAACATAACGGATATATTTTGTGCTCTGTTCTCCCCCACCTTTGGTATAATTTGAGAGCACTGTATAGGTGTGTATGGGGGCACACACACACACACACACACACAACCATGTATGTGTATACATATACATATAAGCATACATATGTATATGTATATATTTGTACGAAGATATAATGTATACATACAAAACTATATGTATGTGTGTGTGTCTATACACACCCACACATAGACATACACACACATCTCTATCAATATCTGTATGTTATTATGAAAAGAAAAGAAAACAAAACTCTTTGTAAGCCCAAGTTAGGTTTATAAATCTATCTCTTTTAATATCTTAAACATATAGGATTAAAAACCACATTCTTTCCTTCCATACTTAACATTTGGGCTCTCCATTCCCATAGCTGAGTCCTTCCTTTGATTGCTAATGTATCTAAAGGCCTGCTCTAACTTCCTGTGAGATTTAAGGAACAGGCTTTTTGGGCCTGCAGATAATGCTTTTCTCTTCAAATTTCAGTCATAGAAGAGGCTGCTATACAGGTCTTGGGAATGATCTGAGAGGCTGAGATCGTTCTGAGAATACACTAAATCTTCCTGTATGAAATTAGAGAATTGTTTTTCAGTGCTTAGATTGTTCAGGTAATTACCATGGTTCCTATTTAGGTCCAAGATATAAACTCAGCTCAAATAGCTTAATATTTGGATGGTTTAAAACAAAACAAGGTTAAAGCACCATCTACACATTAAACAAAATAGCCCCTTCTTTGCGTAGCATGTGGATAAGGGGGTGAAGAGAAGCTAAGAAAAGAAGAAGTAGAGAGTTTACTGTTTTACACCAGGATATCCTGTTGTGCTCCGTAGCATCAGACATCGATGAGTCATCAGTGATGCAGCTGGCTGAGATGGGTTTCCCTCTAGAAGCATGTCGGAAGGCTGTGTACTTTACTGGAAATATGGGAGCCGAGGTGGCCTTCAACTGGATCATTGTTCACATGGAGGAGCCAGGTAGGTGGCCGGAAAATGGAATGGCTTTAGGGTCTGATTTGCTCCTCAGTGATGCTAAGCCTTGGTTCTTCCCTGTCCTCTGGATGTGTCCCTGAAAATGACTTTTCAGCTTATAATATGCTGCAGTGGGGGAGGACTTTGTGTAGCAAAGTCACAATCTTTGTCTTCTTTTTTTTAATAATAACTTTATTGAGATATAATTCACACTGTTAAAGTGTACCATTCAGTGGCAAAAGGACCATTGGAAAGATGTGAGATATACTTCTAGCTAAGAGATTATGAGAACTTGAAATGGAAACATATCGTGAAGAAATGTGGGCTGTTTGGTTTTTAATTTTTCTACTTTATTAAGATAGAATTCACATACCATATAATTCACCCATTTAAGGTGTACATTTCAGTGGGTTTTAGTAAATTCGCAGAGTTGTGCAACCATCACCACTATCTAATTTTAGGACATTTTTGTCCCCCCAAAAGAAATCCTGTACTTCCCATTCTCCCACTCTCCCCAGCCCCTGGCAACCATTAATCTACTTTCTGGCTCTATGAATTTGCCTGTTTTGGACATTTCATATAAATGGAATCATAGAATATGGGATCTTTAGTGTTTGGTTTCTATCATTTAGCATAATGCTTTCAAGCTTCATCTATGTTGTAGCATATATCAGTACTTCATTCCTTTTTATGACCAAATAATATTCCACTGTATAGACATACTACATTTTATTTATCCTTTGATCAACTGATAGACATTTGGGTTGTTTCCTTTTTTGGCTCTTATGAATAATGCTGTTATAAACATTTTGTGTACAAATTTTTGTGTGGACGTTTGTTTTCATTTCTCTTGAGTAGAATTGCTGTGTCATATAGTAACTCTGTGTTTAACTTTTTGAGAAATCACCAAATTGTTTTCAGTAGTGGCTGTGCTGTTTTAAATTCCCACCAGCAATGTTTGAGGGTTCCAATTTCTCCATATCCTCACCAACCCTTGATATTATTGTTTTTATTATAGCCATTTAAGTGGATATGAAGTGGCATCTCATTGTAGTTTTGATTTGCATTTCCCTAATGATTAATGATGTAGAGCATCTTTTTATTTGCTTATTGGCCATTTCTATATCTTTGGAGAAAGATCTATTCAAATCCTTTGCCCATTTTTGATGAGATTATTTGTCTTTTTATTGTTGAGCTCTAAGAGTTCATTTTATATTCTGGATACAAGTACCTGGTCAGATATATGATTTGCAAATATTTTCTCCCATTCTGTGACTTGTCTTTTTACTTTCTTGATGATATCCTTTGAAGCACAGAAGTTTTAAATTTTAATTAAGTCCAATTTATCTATTTTTTTCTTTTGTCACTTACGCTTTTAGTATTGTGTCTAAAAAACCATTGCCTAACCTAAGGTCACAAAGATTTACTCTTATGTTTTCTTCTAAGAGTTTTGTAGTTTTAGCTTTTACATTTAGGTAGATGATCCATTCTGAGTTAATTTTTGTATATGGTGTGAGGTAGGGGTCCAACTTCATTCTTTTGCATGTGGATATGCAGTTGTCCAACACCATTTGTTGAAAAGACTGTCCTTTCCCCCTTGAATGGTCTTGGTACCTTTGTGGAAAATTAATTGACCATAGATATATGAGCTTATTTCTGGACTCAGTTCTATTCCATTGCTCTATATGTTTATCCTTATACCAGTACCAGACTGTCTTGATTATTGTAACTTTGTAGTTATTTTTCCTTCTTAGCTCTAAAGTGTTGTTTGTTTCAAGACCAGAAAAGAAAAAGGCCTGAGTGTGATTATTTTCCCCAGATTTTGCCGAACCACTGACCATGCCTGGTTATGGAGGAGCAGCTTCTGCTGGAGCCTCTGTTTTTGGTGCTACTGGATTGGATAACCAACCTCCGGAGGAAATTGTAGCTATCATTACCTCCATGGGATTCCATCGAAATCAGGCTATTCAGGCACTACGAGCGACAGTAAGCATGAGAGACTGTGTGTGTGAATACCCTCCTCTTATTGGAGGTGGTTTGTATTTCTGTCAGTAGCAATTGAGACTTTTCAATGTCCTTTGATCGTGTTGAATCATGTTTATCTCACTTATACCCTGCCATGGCCCACAGAGATTTATTGGCATATAGTATATATAAAGCTAAAATAAATGATTGAGGGAATCATACAAGGAATTTAAGATTAGGGAGATAATACAGCTGGGCAAGATGACCAAACTGAAAGAAACTTTGTGTCATCCTAATGTTTATTAACAGGGGTCAGAGATTTGACTTGGAGCTTGCTTGTGGGCTTAGAACAAAGAGGGATGCATGAGATTCTGTGTTCAGTAAGGCAATTCTTTAGAAGAAATTATGCTTTTCTGATACCAAGACCTTGGAGAAATGTCTCTCAGAAGTATTCATAGAGAAGACTGAATGGCTCCTTGGAATTCTCTGCTTCTCTTTCTCTCTGCAGAGAGAGAAAGTTCGGCCTGTATTCATGAATTCCTGATATCAGGAGAGAAGGACTGTGAAACTAGAGAGTAGATAGAAGTCTTCCTCTTGCAGTACAGATATCTATTTAATATTAAGGGAAAGTACTTTTTTTTTAAACCAATCCTTCCTTGCATTTTTTTCTTTTAAACCCATCCTTCCTTGCCACACCATACTCCATTTTTGAATGGATGTCTGCTACTGATTCCTTCTTGCCTATCCTGACTGGTTGTCCTCTAGGGTCCATTGCTGAGGTCACAGTGGCTCTTGACTAGCTCGTGGGAATGTGGCTGGAACAATCTGTTTCCCTTTAAAATACTTGAAATGTCTCAACTACAGTTTGTTTCACTCAGGGTACTTGCTTATGCCCCACTTATTTTATTTGCCTGACAGTTTCATTGGAGAGTCTGACTACACCTAAACAAATTCTTTAACCTGCCAGTGATATCACAAACAGGGGAAGATGGAAATATTTTCATGGTTAATTGGTTTGAACTGCGTGGAGTTCAGTTTAAAACAATTTAACTTGGGCTGGCCCCGTGGCTTAGCAGTTAATTGCGCGCGCTCCGCTACTGGCGGCCTGGGTTCGGAACCCCAGGTGTGCACCAACGCACTGCTTGTCCGGCCATGCTGAGGCTGCGTCCCACATACAGCAAGTAGAATGATGTGCAACTATGACATACAACTGCCTTGGGGGGCTTTGGGGGAAAAAAAAAAAGGAGGAGGATTGGCAATAGATGTTAGCTCAGAGCCGGCCTTCCTCAGCAAAAAAGAGGAGGATTCAGCAGGATGTTAGCTCAGGGCTGATCTTCCTCACAAAAAAAAAAAATTTAACTTAACTAACAAGTGTTGTCATCATTAATCAAGGCATTAATCTTGACTCTACTGCAGTTCAACCATTCTGCCAAGATTTAGGGAGAGGAGGCACTAGCGTAGTACTCACATTGGCACCCCTCTACCTTGCATGGTAACCTGCAGAAAATACAGTTGGTAGAGAATGTAGTGTGTGCAATTAGAATGGCTTTAAAAAGGGCTGCACTTAAATGCCATCCTCTCTGGCATTCTGCACCCCATTATTATCAGCATCAGCCTACAGAAACGCTGAGCTAAGACTGATGGGCTTTGGAATGCTAAGCTGCTGCTCAGAACTGTTTTCCAGTGAATCCAGTTAGAGACTTCGGTTGGGAGACTTGCAGAATGCCAACCTAATGTGCATTTCATATGCAGAATCAGAGCTTCTTACTTGGAGGCACTTAGGACTAATTAATTCAGGCCTCCTGTCCTATCTACTTGACATCCTTTCAAATGGTCAGGATATAATGAGGCCTGGGGACTGCATACATTGTAAAAATGTTTTATTTTATTAGAATAATAACCTGGAAAGAGCACTGGATTGGATCTTTAGCCACCCTGAGTTTGAGGAAGACAGTGACTTTGTGATCGAGATGGAGAATAACGCCAATGCAAACATTATTTCTGAGGCCAAGCCTGAAGGACCTAGAGTCAAGGATGGATCTGGAAGTAAGTTCTTGCCTTAGGGATTGTCTGAGTAATCGTGGCTATACATTTGGCTCATGGCCTTCCCTCTTGCCACTGCACATTAAAACCTTTGCCATCATTCAAAAGTTAGCACAAATCCCATCTCATAAATGGTACATTTAGCCACTGCGTGGGCCACGGTGATCTGATAAAGTTTTGGACGGACTCAGAGTCATGTTGCCTAGTAGTGTGTGTACTTAAGTTTAGTGCCAGCTTTGACTTTGTCCTTTGTGGTAAAATTTCTTGGTGGATCACGGAGGTTTTTATCCAAGAGAGAGCCCTTTTTTTCATGGTGATATTCTTTGAAAAGTTGAAAAGCAGTCCTGTACCCTTGACCCTGTCACTACCCATATCAACTGCTGATAATTTTCTGAAGGGCTGTCAGGATGGCAGGAAGATGTGCCGTAGGCCAATGTTCTGCCTTTTAATAGCAAACACTTATATATGTGTTTATATGTATATAACAAAGCATAGATATATATATATATCTGTAGCAAACACTTACTATGTGTCAGGCACTGTTCTAAGCACTTTGCTTATAAACACTCACTTAATCCTCACCACACACGTTTTACAGGTGAGAAAACAGAGGCACAGAAAGATTAGGTACCTTGCCCAGGGTCACAGAGCTCTTAAGATGTGGAGCCAAGATTCAAACCCAGAATCGATGTTCTTCACCATTATGATTCCCTGCTTCTCGGGCTGTCATTGCCTAAGGAATAGTGTTCAGGCTCTTTAGCCTGGCATTCGACACCTCTTCCAGTCAGATCCCAGCCTACCTCGTCTCTCAGTGTTATTTCTCCTGCGCTCCCCATACCTATAGCTCAGACTCCTGGTCCTGTAGCCAGACCACCAGCCTGCTCAGCTGTCATCGACCCTCATCTCGTAACTTCCAGGCCTTTGCTCAGGTTAATTGTGAAATGCCCTTCTCTTCTGTCACTGCACACTAAAATCCTTACCATTATTCAAAACTTGGCCACAGATTCCATATGTCTGGACTGCTTTCCCAGATCCTTGTCCCTCCTTACCTCATACACTAGTAATAATTATACAAGTATTAACAATACTTCCATTTATGGCACATTTAATCCTCACGATAACCCTATGAGGTAGATAGCATTATTATCCCCATTTTACAGATGAAGAAACTGAGGTAGAGAAGGTTAAGTAACTTGCCAAGGTCACATAGCTAGTAACAGGTAGAACCAGAATTCCAACCCAGGCAGTCTGCCTCCAGAGCCTGTGCCCGTAGCCACTATAATGTAGTGTTGGGTCTTTTGTTATTAGAAGTATGAAATTGATCTTGCAATAAAATTGTTTATGTAAATGTCTGTGTCTCTCTTTTGACTGGGAGCTTGTGGAGGGCAGAAGTCATTTTACTTTTATAAATCTCATGGTGTTTAGCACATAGAAAGTACTAAGTAAATAACAATTGGATTAAATTTACATTAGAAGCATTTATTCCTATAATCATGTAGCTGTAGTTCTACTCACTAGTGATCTTACCAGACCTAACATGTATGTATTGATCTAACTCGAGAGAGAGGGTGGGAGGGAAACTTTCTTCTTTTTTTTTATATAAAATAGGAATTTCTTCACTGAAGCTGTTTTAATCCTGACTGGGTGAGAAAAGGATGAGATGTAGTTCTCCCATCTTCCACATTCATCTAAAGGGCCTTTTATTACTTTTTGGAAATCACTGGCTTGCCTAAAATATTAAAAGCTGTGACGGAGAAGATACTCAATAATTCACGAATGGGATTTATTACCTGTTATGTATTCATCGGTTGACTGCTTCCTTGATTTTCTGAAATGGACTGTTCTTTGGGGAGGATGAGTCCTTCTTGCAGAAGGAATCAGCGAGATGAGGCCGTTGTAAAGCTGCCAAGATATTTGGCTGCAGAGGGAGGGAGAGTCTGATCCATTAGGGTTTCCCTTCTTCTGATGGAGCTTGGAGGGACCAACTGCTCTCTCGAAGATGGTCATTAATGATACGGAACAGCCACATCATCTCCTTGGGCTGATTGTACTCAGAGTGATCTGCAGATATTCCTGGCCCTACTGGGTTTTGAGATGCATCCTTGAATAGGATGCCATGATGATGCTTTCAAGCACCCTTTAATTTAAAGGCACTATGGGCCAAACTCTGCAGCCTTATTCCTCATCACCACCAAATTTAGGGCACTTGTGAGTGAGGATGGGGAAGGAGGCCGCGATGCACTATGAGAAATCATGTATAGGATATGCAGAATCTAAGGGCAGTAGTAGGTGAAAATTTTAATTATGAAAAACCAAGAAAGCATAGACCACCCTAATTCACCAAATGCAATTTGCCTCTGATTTTATAGAAGAACAGATGTTCTTAAAGTAGCCTTTCTAACACTGTGCCTGGCCCATTGGAGGTGATCAGAAATGAATGACTGAAGGAAAAATGAAATGAAAGCCAGGAGGTAGTGGTCACAGGGATAGTTTTTTTGCTGCCTCCACTAAGTGCCATATGGAGGAACTGACAGTGTCTTATTTTGTGTTCCACTGCATAAATCACTGGAAAAGAAAAAAATGATTTCTTGTACTTTGCTGCAACAGCACCTGAACTCATGTCAGCGACTTCTTTTCCCTTAAAAAAAGTTATTTACATTGTTTATTTTTCTTATAATTAAAAGGAAATATAAAAATTTTAGCAACTTGAGAAAATACAGATATATTAAAAGGGGAAAATAAAAATTACAATTCTACAACCCACTTGTAACCACTGTTGTTTTGTGTATATTCTTTAGACCTTTCTATGCAAATCTATAAAAATGAATATAATATCTATATTTATAAAAATATAACATTCTATTCTATACATGCTATTTTATAACCTGCTTTTCCCCTAACTGTGGGTGTACATATATATAAATCTAGATTGTTGAACATATATTAATAACGTTCCATTGTATAGATGTACCATAATTTATATACCTAATTTTAGGCTAACTAGTTATTATTTAAGTAAATGGCGATTACAGAAAGAGTTTCAAATAATGGGGTTATTTGCACATTCAGAAGATGACAGCAATGATTTTTAAATAAAGAATTTCTTAAGGGATGAATTCAGTTCACAGAAGTACAACAAATGCCTCTTTTAATCCCTATCCACTTACATAGTAAACATTTGTTCAACATTTAAGTTTCTTTTCTTTCCTCCCTCCCTCCCTTCCTTCTCTATTAAAAATAATGCTATAATGAACATTCATAGGCCCTCATTTCATTATTTCTTTCAGGTAAGTTTCTGGAAGTGACGTTTTTGAGTCAAAACTGCATATTTTTGAGATTTTAACACAGATTATTACATTACCCTCCGGAAACACAGCACCACTGCATATTCTGGCAGCGCTGGCGGCTCTGCTGTTTCCCCATCCCTCCCTACAGTGCTGTCGGGCTGAGCACTCTTCGTATTTTTCATGTTTATTGCCTCATTGTTTTTCTTCTTGTGTTAATGGTTTCCTCGTTTCCTTTGGCCCATTTTCCCATTTTTGTTGAGGTTTTCAGCTGTTTTTTATTGATTTGTATGAGGCTTTCATATGTTGCATATTAGTTTGGGAATATCTGGTAGCTTTACAATATTGAGTTTTTCTGGCCAGAAACGTGTTATCCTTTTCCTATTCATTTCCTGCTTCTCCTGCTCCTGCAAAGCTGTATGGTTTTCTTTATGAACATCCTGTGCATTTCTGGTTTAGTTACCTCTCAGAATTACATTTTCTATGTTACCTATGAATAAAAATTTTTCCCATTATATTTTCTAAATTGTTACTGCTGAATTTTGGCAGCTGGCCATTCTGCAGGGATTTGATTAGAATTGCATTAAATTCATAGGTTAACCCCAGGAGATGTGTATTCTGTGTAGGTAGGTTGTTTACATTCCCAAGACTTGGCTTTTTACCATTTTTTTTTTGGTTGGTGAATTGGTTGAGACATTTGGCTTGGGATAATTTAAAGGTTTAGGTAATTACTGTTTAGGAGCAAAATGGAGAGCCCAAACAGACCAACAGACCAAGTGAAACCAAAAACCTCGGTTTTCAGGATTCTCTTGTAAGTGGCAGGAGAGCTGAGCCACACTTGTCTAAGCAAAAAGGAAAGTGTTGTATCATAAAAGCTGGAAAATCCTGGAGAGACCTGACTCTAAGCATGCCCTTGACTCTGGGACTCAAACCCTTTTATCTGGATGCGCCCCTTGGCTTTGCTTCCTCTGGGTTGGTTCCAGTCTCAGAAAGGCTCTCCCTAATGGCTACAAGATGGCTGCCAGTGCCTGCTACAATGGTATCTTTCCAGGTTAAAATCCAGCAGCAAGAGTCTTGTCCCAGAGTTCTCAGCAAAGGTCCTGAGAATCTGAGACTCCGGCATGTGCCCACTCCTCTCCGAGTAACGGCCCCGCTTGTGGAGCCTGAGGGTGGATACATCTTCCTTCCTAGCTTGTGAGCTAAGAAGGGAAGGGTTGGTCCCTTCAAGCACTGGTTCAGGTGTGGTCCTGGACCAGCAGAATCAGCATCACCTGTGAATTCGTTAGACATGCACATTCTTGGGGCACACCCTAGACCTGCAGAATTAGGACCTCTGGGGGTGGGCCCAGCCATGTGTTTTAGCAGGCGCTCCAGGTGGTTCTAATTCAGCTTAAATTTGAGAACCACCACCTTAAAAGCAAGTTTAGGTTACTATTGCCTTAAGGAGGAGAGTGGCTACGGGGACATCACTGCACCAGGTTAACACTGAAAATAATGACAAGGTAGGTGTTCGAACTGGAAACAAGTGACTACTGTATACAAAGACAGGGATTAAGGAAGCACTTGTACCAGATTCTTCCTTTAGGGAATACGTTAATTAAAAATCTCTATTGCTGTCATTTTGAATGAGGAAGTAATGTCATTGCATGAAACTCTTTTATTTAAATGTTATCTAATTGGCTTAAAAGGCTTGGTGCTGTTAACACTTGATGAAATAGT